ACATTAAAAAACATTAAAAACATTTATTGAATAATATTCATAGTTACAAATACAACATATATATCACAGTTTACAGTTCGTTTTGGTTTCCCGAATAAACATTGCATCTTTATGTGGGCCCAAGTGGGCTGCGGGTGCCAGAAGGGCATAGGGTCCTTCTCGCCGACGGTGACAGTCAAACCAACACAAACATCCCGTACATAGATGGAACTCGGCGCTGCTACCCATTTTTTGCGCTTTGCGCTTATGAGGGTGTTTTGGGATCAAAGACCTTTTGGCATTTTGTGTTTTATGCATTTAAAAATACTCATATTGCAGTGAACGAGGTCTGTGTTAAATTCAAGGAAAAATAAAAATAAAAAACCTTGTATCTGGAGCTAGGGGGTGTTTTTAACCCTTAAATTATTGTGGGGCCAATACACTGAAAGAAATTTGTTGCTAAAAGTAAATACAAATTTATACTAAAAATTTTATACTAGTGCTTTACACATTTATACTACTGTTTATTATGAATGTATGGTAAATTTTGTAATACATTTATTGTAAAGAAGATATGTTAGATCTAAATAAAAATAAACTTACCCTTACTATAAAATGTAAACTATAAGTGAATTACAGCAAAAAAATATTGCTAGAAACACCATTTATATTGCTAGGGCAGCAATAGGCTGCTAACCAAACGAATATATTTGTTTTAGCAATGTATGTGGTAGTCTATATATGAAACATAAAATATATTTGCCCTAATTATTTTTTTATTTAACTTTAGTATATATTTCTTTCAGTGTATATGAGGGGTTGGGGTAAATATTTTTGGGGTGGCGAGCCTTTTCAGCCACCGATCCCCGAGGCGATTTCGCAGTCGGTACACCTTTATCTAGACATAAAGGTGTAGCGTCCGCTCGTCACCACGTCAGGGAGCGGCAGCTGAAAAAGTTCGCCTTATCAAAATTAATTGTTTTGTTGATTTTTTTAAAAAAGTAGGAATAGAATTTATTCTTTGGAGGTTTTTTAGGCCTTATGGTGAATAAACATATTTAAGAAGTATGTTATTTCGGCCGTCGCTACACCTTTATTTATAAAGACAAAGGTGTGCCGACTGTTTTATAAAATGTGATATTTGGGGTTTAAGTGGTTTTTATGTCGAACCACTATTCGATTGTTTGTGGGGGGGTTAATGATTATGTGTTCCCACATTTTGGGGTTAAAAGGGCATTTTTGACCTCCGGTTTCACAAGGCGCTTTGCCGTCGGTACACCTTTATTTAAAAATAAAGGTGTACCGACCGCTCGTCGCCACGTTAGGAAGCGGCAGCCAAAAACACTCTTTTTGCCAAAAGTCGTGGTTTTTGATAGTTTTTAACCAGAATCAGGCTGGCGTTCATTTTTTGTGATGTCTGTGGTGCTTTTAGTGGTATTGCGCCCTTCTTCATCTATCGTTATCCGGCGAGCAAACTCAGTCGCTACACCTTTATCTTGAAAGATAAAGGTGTACCGACCGTTACGTTCGCACGTCAGGGAGCGACAGGCGAAAAAGTGCGCTTATAAGCGCATATATAAATATAGGGGCATGACTGCTCGTATACATCATGAAGCACATATTTTTAAAAAGTTATTAAATACCGCCAGAGGTGTCGATAGACGCCAGAAACTGAGTTTTGGCCAAACTTACATGCATTTTCATGGTGGCATTAGATCCTCCATGAAAATTGGAAGGCGCTTGTAAATAAGGCCGTGCTTCAGTCTCTGGTTGTCGCTGTGCCTGATTCTGGTTATACTGGCAGTAAGTGGCGACTTCTTGATGTTATGACTATAAAAATCATTCGAGATCGCATGTATATGCTGTTTCAGTGGACAACACATTGCCAAATTCTGTATTTCCTCTATACGAGTGTATCGAGGGGCACGCGTGATAGTACGCAATATTTTTGTCTGTAGCCGTTCAATCTGCATGTACCTGGTGTCCGATATGTCACACCACGCTGGGGCAGCGTAGGTGATGATGGGCCGTAGAATGGTCTTGTAAAGCAGCATTTTATTTTCAGTGGATAGGGCACTGGAGCCGACGATGAGCGGATATATCGCTTTTAATGCTCCGTATAGCCTGCCCTTAGTGTGGTTCAGCTGGCGGAACCAATTTAGGCGTTTATCTAAATAAACGCCCAAATATTTTGCGTAATCGCGCGATACTACGGCGCGCCCGTCTATCTGTACGTGGCTGAAAATGCCAATGTTTGTGTATTTTCGAGAAAAATTAACCAGCTCCGATTTAGCTGGATTCACCTTAATAAGCCACCTGTCCCAGTAGGCTTTAAGCATGTTAAGGTAAATCTTTACCTGATCATTTGCAACCGACGACGCGAAGGAATGGGCATAAAGCGCAGTGTCGTCGGCATACAGAGCTAGTTTACATTTCTCGAAATGTGGCAAATCACTGGTATACAACCTGTACAGCTTCGGGGCTAACACCGTGCCTTGTGGTACGCCAGCTTTCACAACGAAGGCTTCTGAGCAGGTTCCTTGTACTCTTACCCGGAAAGATCTGTTACGCAGATAAGAGTTGAGCAATTTAGTGAAGTGAGGCGGTAGACCCAAAAGGTGAGACTTGTGGACTAGTCCGTCCGTCCAAACAGTGTCGAATGCCTTTTCCATGTCGAGCATTAGCATAACAGTGGACTGGTCCCTGTTATACGCCTGCTTAACGTCGTGGACTATTCTCACTATTTGGTGGACGGTGCTATGTCCGGGTCGAAAACCAAATTGCTCTGGTGGCGTCAGTTTTAGCCTTTTGTCTAGCCTATTAATTCTGTCCAGTAGTAACCTTTCAGCCACCTTGGACAGAGTGTTCAGCAGACTAATCGGTCTATAACTGTTAGTTAGAGTGGCATCTTTTCCGGGCTTGGGTATGGGAACTATAATAGCTTCCTTCCACTGAATTGGATAATGCTGCTTCCTAATAATGGCGTTAATGATATATGCAAATTGAACAACAGACTTACGTGGCAAATTCTTTCAAGCAACCGCCCTACCAACTAAGCTATCTAGCTTGACAACAAATATTATAAGTTCGGGGAACAAAACCGGATTATTATTATTATTATGATTGCGCATGCGGAAGCCAGGAAGCCAAGTGATATTTCTGTCCATAGACGCGAGTACATAATTGCTGTTAAAATATCGTATTTTTAATGTAAAAGCAAAGATTAAATATAAGATATAATATACTATATAAGAGTATATTTAATCTTTGGTAAAAGTATACAGACCGAGTGCACCCGAACATTTTAAGTAACTTACTTCAGGTGAATCATCTTTAAAAGTAAATTAACTCAATAATTACGCAATGAAACATTTAATTTTCTTAGTTTATTTAAGAAACTTTCTTTACCCATTACTGGTAATATTCATAGGTTCATTTTTTTATTACGTAATGAGTTTAGCGGACTTTGGCAAAACCGAATGCTGCTATGATGCACGTCAGATCATTGATTTTAGGCCTCTAAAAACAATGTTTAGATGTACACAACAAAAATAAAACCTCATTTTCATATATGCAATATTGTTTAATTATAGTATAATTATTATACCTGCCTACGATGATTCTTTTTGCAAGAATTTGGAAAAGGCTGGTGCTAGTACTCGATTTTCCGCCGCACGCGACCTTCTTTTGTTTTTATAACAAGTTCCTGAATCTTTTTTGCGTTTTTCAGACATTTTATACTTGTAATTATCAAACTACCTTAGCAATGCACTGATTTTACAAGCCCAATCGTGATAAAATGTGCCAATTATTAATTATTAATTGTCAATTGTCAAGCAAAAGTATAAAAAACTACAGGATGTGATTGAAGAGACGAATGAAAGAAAGCGCCTTTTTCAAATCTTTGTAACAAAGATATTAAATTATCTAAACTGCATTTCTCGAGCGTAATTCTTAATTCTTGATTATTATTATTTTTGATTATCATTAACAAATCGTAAAAATGCCGCCCCCCCATTATGCCGCTCTGGGCCGTTGCCCGGTTCGCCCTTACCTCGGGCCTACCCTGAGTATACGTAGACACTTCCTACATTCAAATGGCATTTGATTTAATAATAATAATAATAATAATAGGTCTTTATTTATTATTGACCCCAAAATTCAGTTTTAAAAACTGGTACCAGGGCCTAAAAAAATATACATATAACAAAAAAAAAATTCTAACCTAAATTATTACAAATATTATACTTTATAAAAAAAAGTTATACTTTCTCTTGAAATAATTTTCTATGATTAACAACAATTTAGAGTTTTATCACAATTAGCTGCACAAAAGCTTTATTTCCCTTAAAAAATAATGAAAGTTCTTTGTAATTTTTAACTGTTCTGGTAGTTTGTTGAAAGCAATGATACATTTAAAGAATGGTGAAGTTTGCGTCTTATTTGTAAGTCTTAAATTAGGTCTTATGTTGTTTTTATTTCTAGTCAGGTATTCATGAAAATCTTTGTTATAATTGATGGTTTGGTTTAATTTTACCTTCTTTTGCGTTAAACGCCATTTTAAGTTGTTCAAACATAAGCAAGTTATCAAAATTTGGAATTTTAGTCTTTATATATACATGTTTTGAAGAAGTTGTAAGGGGTAATTGATATAGTATTTTTAATAGTTTATTTTGCAGTCTGCGTACTGGTTATAAAATATATCATCAATATTAATTATTAGTATTATTAAATGTGATTTCGGATAAAATTTAATATGCACCTCGGCATTAAAGTGGTATTTTTTATCAATTACGTGGTTATTTGCCTCGGCTTCGCTTCGGCAAATAATTTCCACATTCATGATAAAAAATACGACTTTACTGCCTTGATACATAAATAAATATTATTTAATAATAGCTACTAGTACATTTTATCTACACCTTATATTAAAAAACTTTTACCTCTTTCCATATTAAACAAACAAACAAACAAACAAACGAACCCCTAACTAACCCCAATTTCTTTCTTGTCTTCCACAGATGGCGATCACGTCGTCTCTGCTCTTCACGGCGATGCTTTGCACGCTTTGCGGTCCCGTCCTGTCGGGCTACGTTCCCCCGGGACCGCTTTACAGATGTCCCAAGGACAAGCAGTTCCTGCATCCGTGCACCTGCGACACCGAGTCGGACGCAGGAGTCACGGTCAGCTGTAACAACACCAATTTGGCCAGCATGAGCGTGGCCCTCAACAACTTGGCCGCGTTCAACTTGCCCGTCGAGAGCCTTCTAATTTATAAGAGTCATATAGGTGAGGGTTGGCTTTTAGTCGACGAATCCCAAAAGGATCATTATAAAATTTTATTAAGCTTTGGTAGTACAAACAATTTAATTTTTTAAATCTTAATAGGCAAAACTATTCATGTGTACAACTAGGCCCCGGGGCAGGGCCTAAAAAAAGGTTTTTAATTCGAACCCAGAAAAAAAATCAAATTAAATTTATACATAAGTATACATAATATAAAAATAAAACATTATAAGAGGGTCCCAAAATGGTGATATTTAATTTTTAATCGTGATTTTTCGCTCCTTATGATACGTTCTACTTTATTGATATAATATTACTATATCGATACAGTAGAACCCACCATTACCAATAATAGGATATTTTAATATTCTGTCGCGGTAGGTATTTATGTTCTCAGTGATTGTAGACGGTATAACCTATAGGTTAAAAATGAGAACAAAACAATTCATATTCAAATATGGCTACAATTGTAAAGTAATCTTATAAGAATCCAATTATAAGTAAATTTACCTAGAAATTAGTTAGTAAAACAAACAATTGGATGAAAATCTGCACTCTCTTAAAACAAAATAGTTAAAACTCTACTATTTAAATTAATATCAGCATTGTTTACTAATAAAATAGTCGTTTTTACTTTTAAATAGTTATTTTTTACTACTTAAATAGTTTGACTAATTTAAGATAAGTCACCACCTTTGACTGTTTCTAAGTAAAAAGAAACTAATTTTTTAATTGTTTTTAATTCTTGTGGCCAACAACAAACTATTGTTAGAGTTAAATGCATGTAGGCTATGGAGCCTATAAAAACAAACAAAGTTGCAAAAAGTTTAGCTCAAAACAGATACTCAATTTTAAAATATTATTAACAATATTTATAGACAGATTAACTAATTTTTAGAAAAGTATCAGTGACGCCCCGGTTGTACACCCGCTTGGCAAGCGACAGACCTCAGTTGAAACCCCGGCTGTATCATATTTTTTTATTTTATTTGGTAGAATTTAACTTATTTTTCGCTATGACAATTAGCCAAATATTACTAATTACTCATTTTAAGAGTAGAATATAGTGGGTCAAATATGGAACAAATGGTATTAAAAAACAATAATTTTAAAAACCAACATATGATTTTCTGTCTTAATAATAGACCTATTAATACCTGTACACAATTTTATTCATTATTTTTAAAAATTCTAGTTAAAATCATTTTCTTGTTTTCTTAGTTTATAAGCAAACTGTACATTTTATTACAAAATTTGTTATAAAAATAATTTTTTAAACAAGTAGGAATTTTTATGAAAAATTATTTTAAAAAAAATCGCAATAAACGTTATTTTATTGACGTTTCCGTTCCGGGGACGCAGTGTATACGGCTATCTGTTAGTTCAGTTTCGAATCGTTTAAATTTCATTAGAAAATAGAAGCACAGAATCAGATAATATAGGCAAAAAAATCAAACAATTTTATTTAAAAAAAAATCTGAAAAAATGCAAAAACAATTAAAAAGTTGCTAAAATGAAAAAAAAAACATTAGTTGTAGGTATCTGCCTGAAAATAAACGGTCATCATTGTTAGAGTATTGATAAATTAAATATAAATATGCCTTTTACATAAAAAATAAGCAAAATATAGCAAAAAGTGAATAAAAAAGTAGCCAAACTTGAATATAAAATATCTTGAACCTATAGGTTTTTCTATAGAAAAACGGATTTCGCCATTAAATTCAAATACCGAAAATTAAGTTTATGTGTCCCAGCGTTTTCGTGTATTTTTAATAAAAAAAAATTTATAAGTTGAAAATCTACCTACAGTTATGAAATACATATATATTTAAGCTTGGACACCATTCAAATAAATATAATAATAATATTATTATTATTTATTAAATCATTTTATCAATCAAAATTGTAGGTTATATTAGATCCTTCTTCTTAGACGTTTTTATAATTCAAGAAATCATCAAACGGACTAGATGTATTTTTGCAAAAACAATAAACTAAATAAAGTTTACAAGGAAATTACTGAATTGGTCTAGCAATAGCACAAATTTAGGAAGAAATATTAAATAAAAAATAATTTTAATTTGTAATCAAAAAGTTCTTCAAATAAACGATTCACCCATTTATTATTTTTCCTCACACACACAATCTCTAAATAATAATAATAAGATTTAAAAATTTAATTCAACCTTAAATATAATTAAATTCTTTATTATTTTTTCTTTATGATTTTTAGGGCGTTTTTACGGAAGTCTTCTTTACAAACTGCACGTAAGGATGTTAAAAATAGAAGACACCCCCATAGAGAAAATTGAAGAGCATACTTTCTTGGGAATTAACAACACTTTAAATGAACTACATTTAATAAATACCGAATTGTTGGAGTTTCCTACTGCAGCTTTTAAGGTAAATAACATAACATAAGTATTACATACATACATGAACAATAGAAAGTCTTATTTCATTCATGAAAAAATATTTTACATTAAATTATATGAAAATGTAAAAAGTAAATCAAATTAAAAATTTTTGTAATCTTTGACTGAGTTGAAATCCATACATATTTAAAAGAAAATGAAGTTTTATATTATTCCATAAATAAGCCCAGTAAGTTTTCTTACTTAAAAAAGATTTACTTACGAAAGCCAAGAGAACCTTTCGTTAGAGAAAAGCGATAATTTAAGTGGGGGATTTAAATTTAAATTACATTCTTCTTGGCATTGGCTCGGTAAGAATCGATTTTCAGTTAAAATCATTTATGGGGTCCATTTAAAAATGGGGTTCTCATTTACTTTCAAGTTTTTAGTTCGTTGGCATATATTTTTTATTTTAAAATAAAAAAGTTAATTTAAAATCTTTTTCTTTTAAGTCAATGATTAAAACGTACAAAAAATATAATTAATTTGCTGCTTTGTAATTTTTAATTAAATATACAGGGTGGCCAATTAGTCCAAGGTTTTCGCCAAAAACTTTTCAGCTTTGTATGGGAAAATAAAAAAATCTTACACATTAGCGGGGGCGCATTCACCCTTATTTTTTTAAATGGAAATGGGTATGTTGTGATACATCTTTTAAAAGGGCATTACATTTTCTTTAAAGTGAAGCTGAGCAATGGAATTCTGAACATTTTACAGGACCGCTTATTTACAAGTTTCGTAAAGCAAAAAACTGGTTGAAAAAATTGTTTTTAAACTAACAAGTATCAGTCGACAATTCGACTATATCTTCAGTTAATGTGGATAGTTCGTTATTTCTGTGCTTTAATTTTCTTTTAAATCGATAAAAAATGTTTTATTCTATTGCGGAGAGTGTAAATTATTGAATTGTATTTTATAAACAATTAATGTGCAAGAGTAATGGCAACTTTGTTTAATGTAAGGCATGCAAATAGACACGCACATCATGATTACATCCTAGAATTAGTAGCAAAATTCCGGAAAAATCCGGTGGGTGACATTACTTTGGACCCTACATTAAGTACCTGAAGTAACGGAAGTTTCGTGGGCCACCGTACAGAAAATTCTAAAACATAATAAATGACTCCTACATAAAATTCAAATTTTTCAAGAATTGCATAAAGATGATAATGACCGCCGTTTACAATTTTTTTAAATAATTTTCGAAAGAATTATAAATACTTCCAACTACCTTTTTAATATTTGCTTCTCAGAGGAATGTTAATTTTTTCTCAATGGCATTGTTTATCGTCATACACTGTTTAAAATATCTGTGGTGTAAAGAGTAATCTTAAAATAGTGTCAAAATCCAACACCAAGTGGTGTTAATATAAACACCATGAATTATGGTTGAAAATGTTATACAGCAAACACCAAAACGGTGTTTTTCTAAAATTATGTGAGAAGTGCACCTACACAGAAAATAGGAATAGTTCATTTAACTAATATTAATTAATATATTAATTTAGTTGACCCATAAGTATTTATTTAAATCAACTGTGAAAAGGTTAATATAAACAAAGATTAGTTTGACGGTACTAAACCAGATAGTTATTTTATTTGGTTAAATTAACCCAGAAAACTTTAGTGAAACCAACCCGCTGTATGGTTCAGCCCAGTAAACACACATACGTTAATTAAACGTTTTTTTAACCCGTAACACCATTTTGTTTTTACGTATATTTTTAACGTACAATCAACTTTAAAATGTCGCAGATTATAACGTTTAACAATACTAATAAATAAACGTTTAATTTGGGCGTTAAGAAAACGATCATTACATGTTTCGAAATGTTACATTTAAAACGTTTAATATACGTCTATTATTAACGTAAATTAAAGATTGTTTTTGCGTCATTTATAACGTTTATCTATACGTTATATTTAAATTCATATTAATATCCTTTCTAACGTTAGTTCTATAATAAATAAAACTCCACAAATACATCTTTTTACAACGTATTTCTTAAACGTTTGTTTAACGTTAACTGCAACATGAATACAGGGTGTTTAAAGGTTGTAGACAATGATTTTTTTAAATGAAGGAAAGGTTTTAGAGGTATCTCCAATCGTCTTTAGGTGAATCATTTTTATCGTTCGCTGAAAAATTTAGCTGCTTCTAAAACACAAAAAAAATTGTTAAACGATGAAAACTAGTCTAATTTTTCGAAAAACCCTATCAGTTATTATTATTATAATGGACTCTTTCCACAATTTTAACATCTGTGCATTTATTACTTATTGTGTTTGATCTAAGTCGGTTTAATGTTAACTTAATGTTAATTTAACTTAAATGTTAATTTGTGTGTTAATATTTACCTACCACATAATACTTAATAAACATTGAAAACACGTAGAAATCGTCTTTAAAATTAACATATTAACTCTCATATTATTCTAGGACGCTGCACAAATTATAATAAGAACAAAATCACACTCCCCCGAAAATTAGGAAATAAAACAATGAATCTGCATGATATTAACAGTGTGTATATTTTAAAACAATTACATTAAAGTACTTACCAAAAGCCGAACGAATCTTACGAGCAGAAAACACTTAAAAAATGCACCTTTTGATAGCAAAATCAAATTGAAAACTGACCTAGCGAGCAGCTATGGCATGGCATCCTGCCATTGGCATGCCCAATCACATGATGTGTATTCGGCCAATCAGATTGCGTTTTATATGGGCATGTATAAACGTTTTAAATACGTTTGTTTAAACGTATTAAGTACGTAATTTTTATCTATTACAGTAACTGTCTACTTTAAAGAATGTTAATAAAATAATGCCCTTTTTAAAGCAACATTTGTGGATGAGTATAGTGTTCTGCCTAAAGCTTACTGTATGACCACTATACTACTATAGGTACACTAGACTATAGAATTACTTATGCTTTTCTTTAGAATGTAATTTCTAAATTTCATTTAATATTGTTTATATAGGTACTTATGCATATTGCTTATGTATATATACATGTTTCACCAATTTATTAAATATTAAACGTTATAAATTCTTTTTAAACAAGTTATCCCATTTTAGAGAAAAACGTTGTGGATAAAAGTTTATTTGTATTTGACAAAAACCGTTTTATTAATGTTATAAAAATACTTTTGAAAAAGTGAGAAAGTTAAATTATTCATTTAACATTCATTCATAATTCATTTTTTTACGAACAAAATTCTTAGATTTTATACCTTCAGATTTTAAAATAAGAAGTCATATTGTCTACATGTGTAAACTAAGCAAAAATTTAGCCACTATTAAAAAGCACATTTAAATTAACGCTGTTTTAACGTTTAAATTAAACATTTAAATATATGGTTGACTGAACACCTTAATACAACGTTATTTTAAGGTAAAAGTTAGGCCCTATTAAAAGCATATTAAAATTAACGTTGTTTTAACGTTTAAATTAAACATTTAAATATATGGTTGACTGAACACCTCAATACAACGTTATTGTAAGGTAAAAGTTAGCCACCATTAAAAAGCATATTTAAATTAACGTTTAAATTAAACATTTAAATATATGGTTGACTGAACACCTTAATACAACGTTATGGTAACGTAAAAGTTAGGCACTATTAAAAAGCATATTTAAATTAACGTTGTTTTAACGTTTAAATTAATTGGTGTAAATTTATACCAACATCAAACCGTTGCTTTTTCTACGTAAAAGGTTTTATTGACCATTCACACGTTTTAAATACGTTTAAAAAACGTGTGTTTACTGGGAGTTTACTAAATATGTTGTTTTTAAAATAAGAGTTACTTCAACCTAAAGCACTGTGTTAAAACGATTAAAACAATTTGCCGGGCATTCCTGGTTGCATAGTGTGTACCGATCACGGCAAAGGCGGTGTGGATCACGTGATGTTCTTAAATCTCGCCTTTGTTGACTTACATGAAGAGTATATAAGCTCAGGTAGTCCTTTGCTTTGGTGTTACACTACAAGTTGTTCGATACTAAAGAGACCAACTAATATGGATAAGCGGAGTTTTGGAATGCACCTCCTCATATGGTCTTGAGCAAGGCTTTTACCGGAAAGAAAATCTAATACCCAAAATTTATTTTGTCATTCCAAAACTGTTGAAACATTCGAGAAATCCTCTTGACGACACTACGTTGCCCATGTTTAATACAAAGCAAACCCAAAACACACCATGATAGTAAAAGTTTAATTTAAAAACACAAAGAAAATATGGATATTGCAAATAACTGGGTAACTGTCAAAATTACGGTTACACTTGCTGGACTGTTTTTGATGGACCACCACCCTGTATTAAAACCTCGTTTTAATTATTAAATTCTTTCAATTTTTATAGGGTTAAATTTTCATGATCCAAAAGAATTTTATTGTAGGTACACTGTTCAAAATTTTATGACCATTTTAACACCAAATTAACACCATACATGGTCTATATCGATACAAACCAAAATGGTGTTAAATATGGTTCGTTGGTCCAGTGTAAATTCAAATACTAAAATGGTGTAAATTTAACTTTCACACAGTATTAAAATAAATTTTACCTGGTGTAAATTGAACTACTTTTCAGTGTTAAATATAATGTGTTTTTGGTCAAATTAAATCATACTACACAGAAAAAAAGGAAACCGGAAGTTCCTTGACGCATTACAAGTATATTACTAGTGGTATTATTCCAGAAAATTAAACCTTCAACTCGCTAGTTGTGCGTTCCACCAACTTAAAATACTTTAAATATTGACAGCTGTTTTCACCTATTTAAGGTCTCTTTAGTATCGAACAACTTGTAGTGTCACACCAAAGCAAAGGACTACCTGAGCTTATATAATCTTCATGTAAGTCAACAGAGGCGAGATTTAAGAACATCACATGATCCACACCACCTTTGCCGCGATCGGTACACACTATGCAACAAGGAATGCACGGCAAATTGTTTTAATCGTTTTAACAGAGTGCTTTAGGTTGAAGTAACTCTTATTTTACAAACAACATATTTAGTAAACTGAACCATACAGCGGGTTGGTTTCACTAAAGTTTTCTGGGTAAATTTAACCAATTTAAAAAAAATAAAATAACTATATGGTTTAGTACCGTCAAACTAATCTTTGTTTATATTAACATTCCCACAGTTGATTTAAATAAATACTTATGGGTCAACTAAATTAATATAGTTAAATGAACTATTCCTTTTTTTCTGTGTAGATGCACTTCTCAAATATTTTTAGATAAACACCGTTTTGGTGTTTGCTGTATAAAACATTTTCAACCATAATTCATGGTGTAATATTAACACCACTTGGTGTTGGATTTTGACACCATTTTAAGATTACTCTTCTAACCACAGATATTTTAAACAGTGTATAAAAAGAACACATCAAGATATATATATATATATACATGCACGGCTATCAATACGAAGCCCGGTGCATTACACTGGCTAGTCGAAGCCCGGTAATGCGGGACGGGGCGGTTAACTGTTCGTTGGTGCATAAACAACAAGAGACACACTTCGCTGTGTATCAGAAGCCCTGCGGTGTTGCCAATGTCTAAATTTATAATTATAGGCAAATTTGATTTAAAATACCTAGACTATACCTAAACTTAACCTATATTTTTAAATAATGACGTAGGTATACTTAAATATTTAATAATATTGTTGAATTATAATTTTTATAATAAAAATTATTATAATAATAATTATTATTAAATTAATTATAAGTCATTATTTAAAAATATTGTCTAAATTTATAATTATAGGCAAATTTGATTTAAAATACCTAGACGATACTTAAACTTAACAATATTCTTAAATAATGACGTAGGTATACTTAAATATTTAATAATATTGTTGAATTATAATTATTATAATAATAATTATCGTTAAATTATAATTATTTATACTATAATAATTTAAAAGTATTGTTGAATTTAGGACCTATAGGTATAAACATTTCATTTATTTTGTTTATACATCATAATTTTGAGAAGGTTTAAATATCTTATACAGGGTGCTCTACAAGCTCTATGGCAAACTTTGTCAGATGATAGCTGGGTTAATTATAAACATTTTTTCTTAAATGACATGGATGCGATTCGTTTTTGTTTAAAAGTTAAGCTTTTAAAAATATATTTCCATATGTTAATAAAAAATATACGAATATATCAATAATTATAATTATTATAAGAATTATTGTTGAGGTTAGGTAATTTTGTGTAAAACTTAAATGGGAATCAAAACAAGTGAAACTGACTGAATATTTTTTTCATGAATTATAAAGACATCTAGTTTTTTTTTAATTATTAGATTTAAATACACCAAAAATTCTAAAAAATCTAAATAATGACGTATACTTTAATACACTGCCCGACAAAATTATCGCATAATAAATATAAAAAAATTAACTCTAAAACGCCTTTACCAATCTTTATGAAATTTTTGATAAAAATACTTCAACTTATATCTCAATTTACGTGTTAGAGGGTTTTTCGAGAAAATATGTTTAAGCCTTTTTATTTAATAATGAAAAAATGTTCGAAATATAACTTTTAGGGAATTTTTTAAAATAAATAAAAAATATGCTGTTAAAGAGCGTATTTTTTTAGTACACCCTGAAAATTTTGTACAAATCAAACGAACATTAACGAAGATACAGCGCTTCAAAGTCGGTAAAAATGACGCCTTTTTGATTATTTTGCTGAAAAGTGGTCATTTTTCACGACTTTGAAGCGCTGTATCTTCGTTACTGTTCGCTTGATTTGTACAAAATTTTCAGGGTATACTAAAAAAATACGCTCTTTAAGAGCATATTTTTTATTTATTTAAAAAAATTCCCTAGAAGTGATTTTTCGAACTTATTTTCATTATTAAATAAAAAGGCTTTAAACATATTTTCTCGAAAAACCCTTAAACACGTAAATTGAGATATAAGTTGAAGTATTTTTATCCAAAATTTCATAAAGATTAGTAAAGGCGTTTTAAGTTAATTTTTTTTATTTATTATGAAATAATTTTGTGATTTATAATTATTTTAATAAAAACTATTATATTATTGAATGAATTATAAGTCATTATTTAAAAATATTGTCCAAATTTATAATTATAGGCAAATTTGATTTAAAAGGCATAGTTGAGGAGCATCCGTGGAAAACCGGCTATATCCATTTTAATAAATGTTGGGAAAATTTAGAAAAACTAAACCAAATTAAAAGTTGAAAAATAAAAAAAAATAAGTGGGGAAAATTTAGTTTAGCATCCTATAAACAAGAAAAATGTATTACAAACCAAATATTGTTTTATAGCTACATTATAAAGTTAAAGCTGCCTTTTATCCAATAAAAATCGTAGATAAAATATTACTTTAACCAAAACGGTTGATAAAATAATATTGTAATTGTAAGTATAAATGGACAATCCTTATCTAAAAGGAACCAAGCGCCAAAAACTATTTTTGGACTTAACAACATTTTTTGTAAAATAACTCATTTTTAATAATGCTCAAAAAGTTTCTCATTATTTAGAACTTCTTTTAAATTATTGAGAGGACTTTCAAATTATAATTAAGTTTTTGAGCAGCATTAAAAATGAGTTAGGTATATACAAATAAGAACCCAATTTCTTATTGTTGTTTGGTCGTTTGGTCGTTGTTTGCCATGTATAAATAAATTGACCAGTTGTGAATGTTAATTGACAAATTTCCATGAGAAGCTGTCAAAAAGCAGTTTTTGCAATTCAATGTTACATTATAATGATATTTAATAAAAATAATTTTTAATTTATTTCATACCGCTATTGGAAAGTTTTTAAATAAATTAAAAATTATTTTTATTAAAATTGAAAATGTTTCAAATAAATTAAAAATTATTTTTATTTAAATTATTTAAATGTAACATTGAATAATAATAATAATAATATATACAAATCCCCTTGTTTCCCCAATTAAAAGTATGTAAAATATCTGGACAACTTGTAAAACCGCCCCAAAGAAAAATGCACTCCAAATAATATTTCAAAAATAAATATTTCTTTAAAATTAAGTGTATTACGAAAGTATTTAACAAAACATTGCCTTTTAATCCACGCCATGTAGTGAACAAAACATAATTTTGGGAATATAACATTTGTTTTGAAAATCAGTAGATACAAATTTAAGAATCCCGCATTATTTTCCCCGCCTTCCTATCAAAAAGTCATCGAGCGTATAGTCCCCATTGTTGCCAGATGTACGGGCTTCGTATACTGCGTAATACTTATACAAAGCTGTATATAATCTCGTTTGACTCGTGTGCCCCCTACCGCCAAAGCATTGGAACTAAGGGTGTATATTTTGATAGGTTTGAATGGCATTAGGAAGCCCACCACTTTTTCGCCATTGAAACAAGGGGGCATCACTTAACTCTAAAACAAATTTATACACGCTAATTTTAGGAAGCCCGATTTCGGGCTTCGTAAAAACCGAGTGGGCTTCGTTTATACTGTAGAATGTAACGTTTCGGGCTTGGTAATGTAGGATTGCATATCTATATATATATATATATATATATATATATCTTGATGTGTTCTTTTCATACACTGTTTAAAATAGAGTAATCTTAAAATGGTGTCAAAATCCAAGTTAAAAATATTTTTAACTTTATTTTATCATTTAATTTGTAATTTATTTAGATCCTGGGAAACCTGACTGTCCTGAACATAAATGGCCACAAAATGACCTCAATGCCTAAGGACGCGTTCGCATTGAGCGACATGACCGGCCGCCTATTGAAACTCCACATTTGCAACGGCACGCTCTCCACTCCCCCGTTGGAGAGCTTCCAGCCGCTGAGGAAGCTGCGATTGCTCGATTTGCATGGAAATAGGATCCAGGAGCTGAAGAGGAATCAATTTAAGGGACTGCGCGACGTCGAGAACCTGGATCTAAGTCACAACAACATCTCGAAAGTGGATTCGAGCCATTTGGCCGATTTAACCAAGCTGGGATGGTTTAATGTGTCGCATAATAACATCGGAGAGCTGACTAGGTAAGGCCGTCGGGATTTCGACGTTTAAATGTGTTTCCGATTCATTGGAATCGGGAACGAGTGGAAATGACGGGTCGAGGGAATTAAGTCGATTCATTATGCAGAAGATTTACCTACTTACGGAATCTAGGCACATTTTAAATTTATCCTGGAGCAAAAGTCATTTTGTTGTTGTGAAGATGAAAATCGAAAAATTTAACAATGTACAGAGTGTCCGAAAATAATGTTACACGTAAAAATAAAAGTTGCTATAAACAGATATCTGTGGCGTCAAATCGGGGCTATTCGGGAAAAAAATCCTCGTTATTTTTTTGAGGGTCTATGAATTCATAATTTTACGTTAAAAGGTGCTCTTGTTACAAAGTCATAGAGCCAACCGTTTTCGGGAAAAACGCCACAAAAAATATTAGCTTACTTCGCAAATATCATTATTTTGTCAGTGGTGACATTTGTCAAATCGTTTGTCATAAGGGTCATTCCATAAAAACGATATAACGGGTGAAAAAATACATATATTCTTTTCGCATTGATGAATTTTGAAAGAAAACATTACAAACAGATAATTAATTAATCTTCATAATCTGTACTCAAGGGAACTGGCTGAATGACCATTGTGCCTTTAAATATTGGAAATACCACAATCCACACAACAAGGTCTGTTCTATCTCGTACTAAAAATACGAAAAATCACTGCAATACCGCACAGTTTAACGGCGGCCATTTTTGTTCTTTACAATTTTTGTGCTTTGGGTTTGTGATCTGTTTATACAGATTATTAATCGTTTTAAACGTTGTGTTTCTCATAGTAAGCCTTAAAAGAGGCCTTAAAGTGGTAAGAACAACCATTTTACTCCTCTATTGTAAAAAATAAACTTTATTCTAAAAGAGGAGCAAAATGGTTGTCCTTACAAGTGCCTCTGTAAGAAACACAACGTTTAAAACAATTATTAAACAGCACAAATCCAAAGCACAAGAATTTTAAACAACAAAAATGGCCGCCGTTAAAGTCTGTGCAGTGTTGCAGTGATTTTTAGTATTTTTAGCATGAGATAGGACAGACCTTGTTGCGTGGATTGTGGGAAATACGAAAAAAAACCTGTCAATTTGTCAACCATTTTGCCACGTAGTGATTAATAGTTATTTATGTATTAAGGGCATAATAAGGTTTTTATGGTCCGATGCGCTATTTCGAGCCCGAGCGCGTTAGCGCGAGGGCTAGAAAAGCGTCGTAGGACCATAAAAACCAGTTATGCCAGCAATGCATACAAAACTTTATGCACGATTAATATATTATTATTTTTAATATATTATTGTTTTTAAAGACGTTTACGTCAAAGAATTTTTGTTATAATTGTCATATTATAATGTCAACTGACATCAGTCAGTTTTAAAGTTTAAAGATGAATGAAATTGAGGAAGCAGCTGAAAAGGCGAAAAATTGCGGCCTGCTGCCGGAAAAATCAAAATCTTTATACGAAAAAACTTACTTTGAATATATCAAATGGTGTAAAATTGTTGTTTTTAATTTTTGACGTTTCATTATAGCCGGCTGGGTCATAATAACGCCCGCGGGCTATAAAAAGACGTTTACGTAAAAGAATTTTTGTTATAATTGTCATATTATAATGTCATCGTGCATAAAGGTTATTTATCGTAGCATTGGTGGATTGCGTCACAGTCTCGAAAAAATTGATAATTATCACGTTATAAGTGTGTTTTTTTTACTTTTACACTGTTACACCCGAAACGAAAAAATTAATTTATTATTATACCTTACAGATTGATCGACGATCAATGATCGTGTAATAATATTTCGTAAAAGTAAGGTTGATAATGATTTAAAATACTAACTAATATCTGAGCAGAAGACTAATTTGATATGTTTTTTGTTGATTAAAAACTGTAACACCCGAAACGTTTCAGGTGTCACAACTTTTTTATACAGTGTGACCCATTTGTTTGCGACTCACCCCTGTAAAATCTTTATTTATTGTGCGATTTTAACCGGATTTGATTTAAAGTATAGATCTTGATAAACTGTATTTTTGGAGGAAAAGAGTCTTTTCAAAAGACGCCATTTTAGTACAAAATACAAGGCCTACTATGTCAGTTTTTAAGAGTAAATTTTTAAGAATTCATATTAGCGATTTTTTTAAACAAAATCCAAGCACGGCACTGGATTCACCAAACCTTAAAATTACCCTTTACTAAATTTTATTAAAAAAATTTTAGTAGAAAAATGCACAATGTACACTACAACTACAACTACAAAAATGTATTCTGTCAAGTTATTCATGAAAAAAAGATTGAAATAAAATTAAAATTATAGTAATAGAACCATCTTACTATTAGTTTAATTTTATTTCAATGTTTTTTTCATAGATAACTTGACAAAATAAATTTTTTTAGTTATTATTGTGCATTTTTCTACTTAAAATTTTTCAATAAAATTTAGTATAGGGTCGTTTTGAGGGGTGGTGAATCCAGTGCCGTGCTTAGATTTTGTTTAAAAAAATCGCTAACATGAATTTTTAAAAATTTACTCTTAAAAACTGACTTAGTAGGCCTTGTATTTTGTAAATAAATGGCATTTTTGCTTCAAAAATACAGTTTATCAAGATCTAGACTTTAAAACAAATCCGGTTAAAATCGCACAATAAATAAAGATTTTATAGGGGTGAGTCGCAAACAAATGGGTCACACTGTATGTCGATATAAGTGTGTGAATTGCTTGAAGAATGCAATAGGTATATCTTAAATTATTAAAGATCCGATGGTGTCGAACCTACCGAAATCAAAATACCAAATATTACGATTTTCGTGAATAGTTATGTTTTTTTACCGATTTTTGGCAATAATAACGATTTTACCTGTTTTGCCGATTTATCAATCGTACCCAAAGCTATGTAAAAGAAGAATTCATTCTATTTATGTTTATTTGTTACTTACTTATTTCGTAGTACTTAAAGACTAATAAAACACCGATTTTGTCCATATAAAGTGTAATTTTTATACTTGTAACACCCGAAACAAAGTAAAATTTTATAAAAAAAAATAGTAAAACGTTATTTGTGTGATTATGTGGTAGATGGTTAGTAAATATTATACTTTTGGAACCTGTAATTTTTAGGAATGTTTCCCTAAGCAAATTTGCTGAATTTCAAATAAATGTAACAATGATTAGGACATAGAAGCAGAATCGTGAAACTTCCGAAACGCACACTTTTCGACTTATAAAATCGTTATCCTTTATGCTAAACTGTAGGTACTAATTTTACAATTTAGATAGAACAACTATAAACGTAGAGAATGATGGCGCCTCACCCAATTTTTCTGCGAACGTATGACACATTTAGATAAAGTTTTCGCCGCCCGATTGATAGGACAAGGAGGGCAAATTTCGTAGCCTCCTCGTTCTCCAGATTTAAGTTCACTCGAATTCTGCTTGTGGGGATATTTAAAATAATTGGTGTATGCAGTCTCAATAAATAAAATAACAGGATTTTAATAAAAAAAAACAAAAATTACTAAAAAGAACAACTAAACAAAGAACAACAAAATCTTTATATGAAATAAAATTAAAACGAAATAGTGATAAAAATTATAAAAAATAACTTTAAAATTAATGAAACCCTATTGCATTAATACCATATAAATCCAGTAGTAAAGTAAATGAGTTTAAAAAAGACTAACGCAACCTAAAAGAGACTTTTAAAGTGTGCAGCTCTTCTTGAACAAACAATAGTCGAGCAAAATTAAAAGGAATTTTAATGGTTTTAACTGCATTTAGAAGCGTTCGACTCAAAGTAAAGCTTTTGCATAATGAACTTTGTTCATTGAGCAGACCAAATTTCCACCACCAGTCATTTACATTCGAAAACGATTTCAATGGATCAGGATCACATTTAAGTTGGTAGCATTACCAACATTTATATAGTAAATTCTTTAATGGAAGAAATCAAAATCACACAAATAAAAATTTTATTATAAAATTAGGTAAAATATAAAATGTAGTACCTATTAAATAGATAATTTAAAAAAATAAAATTTAAATTAAAAAATATAGACGGTGTCTCAAAAATGGCGCATATCACGCAGATTTTACCCCTCTTTTCAAACCTCTTAATAATTTTACTAGTGGAGCAAGATTATTGAGTCTTAAGCCATGATTAGCAGAAAAAAATCTCCGCGCAGCGATCAAAAAATGTTTGTAATAAAGCAAAGAACGCGGTCTTCACAGGTCCTCAGAAGCGGATTGGCCTTCCTAGGCAAAGTAAAAAAATATTTGTTAATTTTAACCAAATATTATCCAGATTTTATGTTAATCCAGGTCCACATAACTTTATGATAAGTTTACGACCCACTGTAATCTGTTAACTAATTGAATAAGTAGTTTGTATTTATAACAAACATTTTGTAGATTTAATATCAAAATCCTATATCAATAATTCAACCATAATTATTGCAATTTTCAAAAAGGACCTTATTTTTACAAACCTTTTTGTAGACCCAGTATCAAAATTATTTGTTGGAAATTGGGAACTTAAATGAAAATAATTTTGATAAAAAATGTTGCTTTATTAATAAATTTAATAACATACACACAATTAAATAATACACCATTCTGGAATCATCAAATTATAAAAAAAAATTGGTACAATATAATTATCAGTACTACTACAACACTTACTAATGTTTTTCGTAACTTTAAGGCATCTTTTTTCGGATACTTTGCACTTCGCACACTCGTTAAATACTTATAAGGAATCCTAATAACAATAATAACAGATATCTGGTAATATATTATAAACACTCTGGACAGTTATGAATTAGAAAAGTTGCAGACATTAACAAAATAATCTGTAACCTTTGAAATTAACAAAATGCTTACAAAATTGCTATAACCTTTACAAAACTTATAAAATTATAAAATATTTTGCTTTGTTATAGTTATTTACGTGTCAAGCTTTGTAAATGAATCTTTACGGGCGAGCTGGATGTTGAGCGACGCAGGAGCAAACCCCATAATCCAGTGAGCCCAGTAAAGATTAATTGCAAAGCGTGACACGTACAAACTTTTATTTTCACCTTTAAATAACGATTTTCAAATTTAAAATTTCAATTAATGTGTAAAATTTGTCATTTTATTTCATAAATTTCAATAATTTTCTACAAGCCTGTAAAACTTTACAGGTCTTTTATACAAGCCCGTAAAATATTACAGGTCTCTCCCATAATGTATCGTTTACTTGGACACAAAAACAACAAAATTAACCTATAAAATGTCATTTAAAAGAACCTTAAGGTTATAATCTGTGGTGGAAATAAAAATAATTACAAACCCTGGTTTTCTACAAAAAATTATGTTAAAATTTTACAAAATAAAATTACAAACTACAAACTCATGTTATAAAATCTGATTTTTATAAAAATGTAGAGCGGTCCAAACACCAAAAAGAACAAAACCGAACAATCGTAATGATCTCATGCGCATTAAATAATTTGTGACGCTATCTTTTATCACTACAGTTTGTGACAGTCATGCAGAGAAATATTTTGTATGCAATATCAACACTAAGAAACACTGTGTCAAGATTCAATTGGCGTAAGCCGCTTTAAATTTTGTTGATTTCTCTAAATCTTTATTAAACACTTTTTGTAAAATTGTTGCCTTTTCCCCAATATCAGCATTATCGAAATTTTTGAAATAAATATTTTTGATGCTGTGGCATATCGGCACACTATGATTTTTTTCTTCGAAAACTAAAAATCCATTTTCTACACTGTTTGTATTTTTTTTTAATTTTAATTTTTTTTGTTTTTAATCTTTAAGCGAATACAATTTTTTTTATCTATATTAGATCGTGGCTATCGAAAAATTAATATTTTTTTCGGAATTTTAAATTTTAATAATTTCGATTTTTTCCACTTTCGGACATTTTGTAATATCAAAAATGATTTTTGAAAAAACTACTTATTTATTACAAAAAAATGTGCAGTTCGTATATTATTTTATATTTTATATAAACTGCGCACCACTCACTGTGTCGCGACCAAAAAGTTTGTCTTTTTTCAAAAAGACATAACTATTTTGTTTCTTAAACGATTTTATTTTGGTCTGTAATGTCTGCTAGCCTCATCCTCTGGACATTCATGACATAGATATGAAACTCACGCTTCTTCCAGTAAATTTCCTGTAGGGTGATATGAAAAACGGTGCAAAATTTCAAGTTAAGATTTTTCGAATTGGAATCTTAGCAACGAAAATATGATTTTTTTTCTAAAAGAGTACATTTGAGGCTTTTTGGTAGGCAATACACACAATAAGATAAGATGGTAAAATATTGTTCCTTAAATAATTCTGAACAATCGACAAGCTATTTTCAGAGGGGCCTAAGCAAAGACCACTTTTCAAAATGGCATTTTGGTAAAAATTTGCGAAAACTAAATCTGAACCGATATTTACGTTCGTGACATGTTTTCTTCATAATTTTGAGCTCCTGATTGTAATTAAGTTGTCAAATTTAAGTTTCAGATAAAACCCAAATCACCAAGAATCAAAATTCGAAAACAGTTCCTGGTTGTTAAATGTCTTGATAAACTCCGATTCCTGGCGTGCTTCTTGCATATTTATTATTAAATTGCCATTTGGGGATTAATTTTTTGGTCGAAATTACTGCAATTTGTTATAACGCGCGTACTGTACCTACTTTTTATGTTTATTTTCCTTAAACATTCAGTAGGGACTATGAATTTTGATTCATGATGATTTTGGTTATATCTGAAACTTAAATTTGACAACTGAATCACAATCAGGAGGTCAAAATTATGAATAAAACATGCCACGATCGTAAATATCTGTTCAGGTTTAGTTTTTGCAAATTTTTACCAAAATGTCATTTTGAAGAAGTGGTCTTTGCTTAGGCCCCTCTGAAAATAATGAAAGTTTGTTGCTTGTCTCTTGTTCAGAATTATTCAAGTAACAATCCTTCACCATCTTATCTTCTTGTTCTTAAAAATACTGAGTTTATTGCCTACCAAAAACCCTCAAATGTACTCTTTGGCAAAAAATAATATTTTCGTTGCTAAGATTAAAATTCGAAAAATTTTAAAACCTTTTCAAGGTAAGACATAATACTTCATTATTTTAAAGTAAAAACAAGAAAAAATATTTTTTTTACAAACAGGGCTTGGATGAAGTTATTTAAATTTTTTACCGTTTTACATATCACCCTGTAGGAAATTTTCTTGAAGAACCTTGAGCTTTATATGATATAGCCCTATCCTCTAACAATTCATGCAATAGATATGAATCATATCTATTGCATGAATTGTTAGAGGATAGGGCTAGCAGACATCATAGACCAAAATAAAATCGTTCAAGAAACAAAAAAGTTATGTCGTTTTGAAAAAGGATGAAGTTTATTTTGTGTTTTTTTAATAATTAAATTGATTGTATTATAATTTAATGATCGGTATACCGTATATAAAAGATTAATTCCATGTTTTTTTTATAAACGCAATAATATCAATACGCATTAAATGTAACAAACAATTTTTCATTTCCAGAGGCGCTTTCGGCAGAAACACGCTCCTAAAAGTCCTGAACATGTCGCACAACAAAATAAAACGTCTCGATTCGAACTCCTTTAGAGGCATGAGGTTCATGCGCCGTTTATTCCTCTCGGACAACCTGATTACGGACGTGGGCAGAGGTACGTTCGGACCGTTAAAACGCATCGGCACGATCGACTTGGCCAGGAATTTCCTAAAAAAAGTCGACTATCAAATGTTCTACGAGCTGAACTTTATCGAGGTAAGGAACGGACAATTTTTAAGAGGATTAAGTAAGCGCATTGAATGTGGGATATTGAAAGCAAATTCAATGCTGTACAATTTTAGAAATTGGAGTGAAACTACTTTCATTAAATAAATCAATAAAAACCTAGTTATTAAACTCACTCTCTTAAAATGAAATAGTCAAAACTCTACTATTTGAATTAGTACCAGCATTTTTTACTAACGAAATAGTCGTTTTCACTCTTAAATAGTTATTTTTTACTACGTAAATAGTGAAAGCTTGACTAATTTAAGATTAGTCACCATCTTTGACCATTTCTGAGAGTTAAAAGTAACTAATTTCTTTAATCGTTTTCAGCCAACAACAAAGTATTATTTGAATTAAATGCATATAGGCTTTATGGTTAAATGGCCCATAAAAACAAAGATGCAAAACCAGCAACACAAATAATATATTCAACTTTAAAATATCATGAACAATATTAATTGACAAATAAAATTGATTTTTATAAGAATGATTGATAGCCACATTGGTGATGACAACAGCTTGACAAGCGACAGACCTGTGTTCAATCCCCGGCTGGGTCAAAACTTTTTTTAAATTTAAATCTGTTAATTTGACTATTTAATTCACTAGAATTTGACTAATTATTAGTGACTGCTTTTTACAATTAGTCAAATATTACTTATAATTATTTTTGACTAATTCATTTTAAGAGCAGGTATTTCCACTGTTTTAATATATTTTATGATTTTCTTTTTTATACAGGGTGTGCATAAGTAATGATTTTTCGAACTTACTCTTCCTTTCTTATTAACTAAATAAAGTAGCCAATCAGATGTAGGCTTTAGCAGAATGAGGTAGGAGAACTGCTGGCTTAAGTGTGCCTCTGATTGATTGAATACTTTATTTAATTAATATCTCAAATAAATACATCCACTGATGAGTCCTACCACCAAAAGCTGGTCACCCTGTACCTTATGCCGACCATCCTATATATTTTACTTTCAAGAAAATAAATCAAATTTGATATTAAGCTTAAATAAAATATTAAAATGTCACTAAGACCGTAAAATGAAGCTTCAAAATAAGTTAAATAAAAAAATGATTAATATTTTTTATCAACTGCCACCCATTTCAAAAAATAAAATTGCAGTCCAAAGAAATATCCACTAGACAGCTTACTGACGTGCACCATTAAATAATATTAAAAATGATATACGACCAGGCGGCAATTTAAGGAAATTGAAGGTGAAAATCCAATTTTATCTTTTTCGTATTTTTCATTATGTTAATGCATTTTAAGGGGGGTTGAATGGTTTAGTATAATAGTCGAGGTTTGCGGATTTATTACTTAATTTAAGTAAATATGTTATTAAATTAAAATTAAAAATCTTGTCAAGTAATACTAGGTGCGTTCAGAAAATAACGGAAATTGTTAAATTTCGCGGGTTCAGAGGGTCCGGTTGTCATAAAATTTTCTTTATTATCTTGGTATACATGCCCCCCAAGGTATGATAAAAACTTTAGCTGTTTTCATTGTTTACTTTGTCTGTGGCAGCCGCTAAGGTTAGACGTGTTTTATGAGCTCGGCGATTTTTAGTTCGTTAAAAGAAATGGATCAAAGAATTTGTATCCAATTTTGCTAAAAAAATGAAATAATTTCTGTGAAATGTTAACAAAGGCCTATAGTGAGTCTGCTATAAGTAAAACAAGAGTTTACAAGTGGTATAAGAGTTTCCAAGATGGCCGTAAAGACGTTGAAGATGACGAACGCCCCGAACGCACAGGCACAAGAACCGATAAAAACATGGAAAAAGTGGAAGAAATGGTTATAAACCATCAGAGAAATTGCTGATGATGTTGGTATATCGATTGGCTCATCCCATGAAATTTTTTTGAATGTTTTGGGTATGATATGCGTGGCAGCAAAATTTGTTCTAAAATTGTTAAATTTTGAACAAAATTTTTGGCCAAAAACAATACTGTAATGAAGCCCCAGCCTCCATATTCGCCAGACATGCCTCTGTCTGACTTTTTCCTATTCCCAAAAATAAAGAGAACCTTAAAGGGCCGTCGTTTTGCAAGCATGGATGACATTAAAAGCGCATCGCTGAAAGAACTAAAGGCTATCCCAAAGATCGAGTTTTAGAAGTGTTTCGAGTATTGGAAGAAGAGCTGGCACATGTGCATAATATCCAATGGGGTCTATTTTGAAGGCGACAACATTAATGTAGACGATTAAATAAATATTTCTTTCAAAAAAACGAAAATTCCCGATATTTTCTGAACACACCTCGTATAATAAGTTTTAAGTATTTTAATGATGGTATTTTACTCATAAGTCATATTTTTACTAAATTAAAACCACTATAACCGTAAATAATTCTTATTTGTCTCAAAACGTGTTAAGGTTTAAAGTTATATAAAAAACTATTAAACCTTAAGTAAAAACTAAAACAAAAAGGGCAATATTTCTTTAGACACCAATTACATTGTGCAACACCAAAAATCAAACCGCACCGGACTAATTTTTTCTGAAAATATACCTTTCCAATAGCAAAACCCTGGCTGGGTTAGTAAAAGTTGCCTCTAATTTTTTTTATGGCCGTTTGTATTTTCGACCTTCATATACCCCAATTTAGACGTATAAATCGATATTTTTCGCATATATTCGATTTATATCGTCAAGTTTTTTTTTTTGTAGAAATGCAGTTACTGAACAAATAAACCCATTTTGTGAACAACCTATACCAAAAACCCAATTTTTGGGACCAAATATTCGAAAAATTACATTTTTTTTTCAATTTTTCGATAATATTAAAAATATCTTGCTACTTCTTCTGGCAAAAATGTTGTAAAATTTACTAGAAGAGGTAAATTATAAAATACGCCCAGTAAACTGAACTTTAAGTTTGCTTATTTGCTAGAAAGCAATGTTTGAACAAGATTTTCCAAAATATTTATCTTTTCACACTCAACACCAAATTTTTTGCCGAAATATTTGGAAAATCTCTAGGAAAAAATTAAATAGATAAAATAGAATTGTAGAAAAGTACAGAAGAGTTTGATTTTTTCTTTTGTATTAATTTTATTATTAAAAAACTTTTTCATATCAACACATTGAGTAATCTGAATCATTGCTGGAGAATGCCATCCCTTCCGTCCCTTCCACTTCTTCTTCTTTATTTTCTTGTTCATCATTTTCATTTTTTGATTAATCACTGGAGAATTCGATCCCTTCTACTTCTTCTTCTTTATTTTTTTGTTCTTCATTTTCATTTTCTTTCTGATCGTAGTCAAAAATATGTTTACTCCACCAACATATTTCGGCTAGTATGACATCTGGAGCTCGTTTTCCTCTGTATCTGGACTCAAATGGCATCGCAGTTTCATGATAACGCTCTCCCTGCTCAACTGATTCTGTCGATAACTGTAGACTGAAGTAGTCCAAATGGCGACGAAGGAAATTAATTTTTAGCTACATATTGACTCCAATTTTGGATAGAGCATCCAACATTCGTCGCACAGATCCTTCATAATTGGGAGAACGATGTTTGCCTGAAAGTCCAACGATGATTTCTCTTATCGACGCCCACGCATCTCATTGTCAACCAAGGCCCTGTCAAAGTCTTCAGACTTTACCAATTTCCGAATATCAAGACCATGTAAAACCCCTGAAATGAAAAATATATGAAATATTTATTGAAAATATATGAAATCGTTGCAATATATTTTATTGTGGGTTTTGACAATCTTGATTTTGACGAAACAAAAAGTTACAGGCTAAGATAAAGCAGAGCACTGTAATCGTTTCGTCGAAATCGGCATGTCAAAATGTCTAATATTCTATTTTATTTCAAATTTATCTAAAAATTCACGTCAAGAGTGTGAATTTTTAGTAAATTTGAAATAAAATAGAATATTAGACATTTAGACAATAGTAATTTTAACGTTATTTATTTGTTTGTATTAGTTTATTCTTTTGAAATGTTTTAAGTTTTCCTTTGAATTTTTTTTCATTATTTGTCTTACCTTATTAGGTCATAACTAATTGAGCGCGAAAAAGGAGATTTTCAAATTTCAGTAAATTAGTTCAAAAATCTAACAAGCGAGGAACCAAGGAAGATTACCTAATTTGGGTACGCTGAATCTAATGGTGTTAATCGTTTTTTTTAGGTTACCTAGTTTTTGTTTTCGAGATATTTTAGATATAAATTGTAGACCCAAGAACCACAAAAAACATTATTTATTTATTTATTTTTATTATTATTTTTTCGTTTTTAGATCATTTATTGAAATTAAATTTATGAAAACAGATATATATATAAATATATACAGGGTGTTTCACATACGTGGTACATTAAAAGTTTCTGAAGAACGAAAAAAGATATCGATTTGAAATTTTAAAAGCGTTTATAATCCATTTAAGTATATATTTTTTAAATATTTTAAACAAAATGCTACTTCCGGTTCATCCGGAAGTGACATCAACTTTGTTATTTTAAATAAAACACCCCATATATTTTTACATTTTTAAAATCTGATTAAAATTACTATACCATGTCCTATACCTAAAGTGAATGGGTTAAGGGTTATTAGTTGTTTTTGTTAAAATTTGACAAATCCGCGTCAATTAAAAATAGCCTATAACTTTTTTTTATTAGGTTTGCGAGGTTGCAATTTTTAGAATCTTAAAACATTATTTAAAAGATTCCATGTCAATTCTTTAACATTTTTTTAACAAATCACCTTAGAAAACCCAGGGCAAATTAGGCTAACTTGAAAGGTAAATAACTTTTTTATTTTAAATGTAACAACCAGTATGTCTTTCCATAATCAAATAGTAAATTAAAAAACCTTTCGATTGATGTTACTATTCCCTATACCTAAAGTTAATAATTTAAGAGATATTTAACAATTTCTAAAATTTTAAATATTATTTTGTATCAAGAAACCTGTGAAGGGTGTTGACGGTATCTATGGTTACCATATAATCTGTCATTGTTTAAAATTTAAAGTGAGCTCCGTTGCCGCTGATCGTTGTAAACTTTGTATTTATAAATAATGTTGGAGGTAGAAGTTAACATTGATAAAAAACAAAAGAAAGGCGACTTGACAATCAGGACCGTATTCCAAACATTTTAGTACAATTAATACTGAATTTATGAAAAATTATGAAAACTATATTTTTTGAGAAAAAAATTATAAAAAAACACTTTGAAATCAACCCAATTTTTTTTAACATTTTCTTTTCAATATGTATTTGTCTATACATTTATTTCATTGATTTTTATCAATTTATAATCAGTAAATGGTTTTAAAATGAGAAAAATAATGGTTTTTTGTGATGCTTGGATCTACAATTTAAATCTAAAATATCTCGAAAACAAGAGCTAACCTAAAAAAAGCGACTATAGTACCATTGGATTCACGATACACACACAACGGTATGCCAACGCGCACGTTCGCGCCATCTCTCTCGCACTATGTGACGTCACGTTGGAATCAAAATTTCAAAATCTTTAATGCTTAATGTATGCGGTTATGGTGTTTTATTTGGAACCAAAGAATATTTTTGTGATTTTGTAATATAGTGGCATTTTTAAATCTAATATTTAATAAAAAGATCTTTTTTATATACATGGTTATTAAATTTATACATGCATGGGTATTGAATCCTTATTAAATCCAAAATTCTGTCGCTCAAGGATAATAAATTAAACAATGTTTTGTAAAATAACATCTATTTAATATAATTATTTGAATTATTAAATTATTCGATTCAATAATATTACTTCTAATATATTATGGTTATAATATATATAGTTATAACTACTATAGTAGTTTCTTTTTTGACCAAATTATGTTTAGGTAAAATTCTACTTACCTAATATAAAAATCTGGATTTGGATAATTTCTATTGTAGATACAGAAAAAATCCAAACTAAAATAACACAAAAAATAATGTACTCAAAAAAATTTTTTTTTCGGACCTGTGGTCTGACTATATTTATCATATGTTTTGGGGTCGCTGAATCTGGTCAGAAAAACAAAATTGCATAATTAATAAGTAACTTTATTTAGGTATAAGTACATAATATCAAACTATAAGTATATAAAAATATAAAATAAAACTTATTTTGGTATAAAAATGCAAGATAACTGTTTATTTTTTGGCATTGGTAAATTTTGAAATTTTTTTGCCAATTTTTTTTTGACAATGTCATCATGTCTTTATTTTTTGGAAATCCAAAGTATTTTATATCTGTTCCTTTAGTATTTCGATTGGTATTTTTGCACGTAGCCACGGCACAACCCGGCATTATGGTTTTATAATAGTCCTGAACAGTGGCTAAACACAAAATAAAGTCAAAAAACACAATAGTCCTGAACATTGGCTAAACACAAAATAATAAAAAACATAAAATAAAGTCAAAACCGACAAGAAAAGCAGTAAAATCACACTAAATACCTGGGAAATCAATCAAATTACACTACCAAGAAACAATTCTGATTCCAGCATGACGTAATGCGCAGAGAGTGTTCAATTTGAGCCAACAAGTAATCATACCGTTGTGTGTGTATCGTGATTGGATTAAGCGTATTCGAATTAGGTAATCACCCTGGGTGCCCTGCTCGTTAGAAAAAAAAGTTCCCGATTCGAGCACAGTGTTATTGTATTATAACAGTTTTATTAATTATAATTAATGAAACTGCTATTGTAATTGAAAGTATTTATTTTATTAAAACAAGAAGTTTTGTAAATGCACACCACCAATTGTAATCAATATTTTGTTAAAATATATGATTGTTTTTATCTGTTTTTGTTATTTTTCAGGTTTTGGATCTCACGCAAAACAACATAACCGTATTGGAGAAGAACGCGTTTAAAGATTTGTACTTGTCGACCATACTGCTGAGAAACAACAATATCAGCAAAATCGAAGAGCAATGTTTTATAAATTGCGCGAACATAACGCTGCTCGATTTATCTCACAACAATTTATCAAACTTGTCGAAAAAGGCCTTCGACGAAACCACCTACGCAACCGAACTTCAATTGTCTTACAACTTTTTTACCGAACTCAGTCAGGCAAGTGTTAAACTTAAATGTCTTGTTGCTCCTACCATCAATAACATTGTGCGATAAAAATGTATCATAAAAAAGTTTAATTATAATCTTTGTCTATTTTAATCCTACTAAGAGTTTTTAGAGGCATAGTTTTTAGTAATACTAGGAGATTCTTAGAAACAACGAAATTAGGAATATTTTAATTCAAACTGTTGGCAACCCTTTTAATTTTCATGTCAACAATGTGCTAAAAACTCGTTTCTCTGTTTTTTTTTTATTAAAATGTAAATGAAATCAATATAATTTGGTAAATGTAAACGTTGTATAGCTCTTAGAAGCATTGAAATAGACAAAACAAAATTTCACGTTTTATTTTGAGCGACATTAAATATTTAATTTCAAAATTTCGCTTCACGTCAATTGAGGAGCATCCGTGCAAAACCGGCTATATCCACTTTAATAAAATGTTGAAAAAATGGCAAAAACTCTCGGTTTCCTGTCCTTTACAGATAAAATAAAAAGCAAACTTGAGTTTTGTGAGCTTTGAAGTACCTACTTGAATTATAAGATATACTTTCGTTTTCAAAAACTTTTTATTAAGGCCAAAATTTCAAAAAATGTTTTGGATATAGCCGGATTTGCTCAAAAACCGAATAAAAACCGAATAAAATGTGAAAAAAACCTTTATTATTCAAAAATAAATTTAGTGCAAACATGAAAAATCAGAACAAATTTTAGTAGTAGTATGGATATATCCAAGCCAAATGCTCATCATCATTATTATTTATTGGATATAGTCGGGTTTGCTATAAAAAATGTGGATTTGGCCGGTTTTGCTCCTTTTAAATGTGATTTTAACATGGATATAGTTGGATTTAAACAAAATTATCTTGGTTGTCGATAGAAATGAACCCAAAGATGCGAAATCAGAAAAAAAAACAAAAACTGAATAAAATGGATTTAGCCGGTTTTGCACGGATGCTCCTCAATTGTTCAAACCTAAAGTCTGGGAAAAAAATTTGCTGTATAGTATTTTTTATTTTAGGTAGCGAAACTTTGAATTTGATTGGTTCTCAAGGAGTACCTCTTACACTAAAATATTTTACCGCAACCCGTATTACAATCTATATAAATAATATTTCCAATTAGGTACCTACACATTATAATTCTTATAATATTATTATAATAATGACTAATATTATGGTTGCATAAATAATTCAAATATAAAATAGGTACTCAAAATAGTGAAAAACGTACTTCTGAAGTCACTGCAAATTTATCTTGGTCGAAATAGACAAAATAGTATGAAAAACTAATGTTACAATGACTTATTGTGTATACTCGTACTATTGCCACCATTGTCTGTGATTGCCACAAACGGCTTCACAGTCGTGCGGCTTAATAACTCCTTATTACAATCATTGTAACACTCGTTTTGCAATATACTTTTTTTTATTAAATAAAGTATTAAAAAAATACAAATTTGGTAAAAAGAGAAATTTAAGTTTTTTTAGTGTGACTGAATTTAAAAAAAATATGCACATAAATATATTTAGCTAATAAAAATCCCTATAGGAAATTTAAATTTTTTATTTTGTAACATAATAAGTTTGTAAGTTTTGTTAATTATGGACCTTTTAAATTTTTATGGAAATTAATAGTTATTTAATTTTTTTTTTGAATTTATGTTACTGTGAGAATTTGTTCCCATAATTTCCAATTTAAAAAAACGATAAAATAATTGAAATAAAAAAAAATAATGATTTTAAAAATTTTGGTAATTTTGAAAATTAAGTTTTGGAAATTATGAAAATAGCATACCTTACTTAAAACCGTTTAAAACCTACTTTCATATTTTTAGATGTTTAGTTTTTCTTGCACAATTCCCACCTGAACGTGAATTACCTCTGTAACTTTATGCTGTCCTGATACTTACTGGCGTTTAAGAGCGTCCTTATATTTTCCGTGGCGCACTTCTAATATTTTTAAATATTATTTTTTAATAATACCTAATAATTTTTGTTTTCATAAAAATTAAGGAGTTTCATAGAGAAAGTTTCTTTCTCTATGGGAGTTTATAATATTTTAGTAAGATAATTTATATATTTTTATACAATTCATTCATGTTTTTGAAATAATCCATTTATAAAATAGTGCAACAAAAAATTAGACAAGTTTGTACAAACTTTTTTTCTATTGTCTTTTAAAGATATTGAGTTTTAAAATACTAATAATTAGTAACATAAAACTCAAAATAAATTATTTTCAAAATAAAAACCTTTTTACAAAAAATGATAATATATTTAATTTTTAAGCGTCAATTTACAATTATACCTCACATTTCTCTTAAAAATGAATCATTTTATCAAAGTAGCTCAGATTCTTTTTAAAAAGGATTTTATTTTAAAAATAATTTATTTTTATGAACAATTGATGTAATCAAATTTTGTCAGAAATGTGGTGTGCAGTGGAAGTCGGCCATATAATAGCAAATATTAGCAGTGTTGCCAACTGATTTTTCCCCAGTTCTAGGGATTTTTTACGACTGTCTAAATTTTTAAGATTTTGATTTATTCGTGTTGTAATTTATTTTTATAAAAAATTTAATTTATTGAAAATAAATACTGTTCATTAGTTAAGTAATTTAAATAAAAACATTTGTATTTATACTCTTTACAAAATTTGTATAATTACACAGTGCAACAGTGCAAAAGGGAATGGGATGAAACCAAAAGCAAATGAAAGGTAATAGCTTCTACAAAAAAACCCTATGAGGTTGACACCCTATAATAGGAAAAAAATAAGTAAAACAATTTTAATTTTTTTTTAATTATTCTGGCAATATAGTCGAGGAATCCATTCCAAGTAAAGAGCATTTTTACTAGAAAATTGGGCATTTTTATAAAAAAAATATTCACTAGTAATACCACTAGAGGTCAAATTATTTCGAGCTCATGAATATTTTGAAAATTATTATAATTATTATAATTTCTTTATTTTCAATCGAAAAAAAAAACAATAGAATGGAAAGTCGGCACAAAATGGGAATAGTGGGGTTAAATAATGTCTTAGTTGAAGTTTTTTTTGAGACAAAAAAATTGAGAATCGAAGGTTTCAGAATTCGAAAAAATGACGGTTTTATTGAAAAAAACTGAAATATTTCATATATCATGACTTCCGAAAAATTGTTTGTATTTTTTTCTGAAAACTACATTTAAAAACAAAAATTTAAAAAAAAAACGTGCCGAAAAGTCAATTTGTGAAAAAGTTATTGCAATTTAAAAAAAAGAGCGGTTTTTTTTCAAAAATTCGTAACTTTTTTGGGTCGGGTAAAAAAATCTAAAAAAATTCAGAAAAATGTCTTTGGTAGGATAGAAAATGATAAAAAAGTTTCAGCGAAATCGAAGGGGGTCGGGTCAAAACCTCGGTGATTTGGCATGGATTGCCCCATATATTCCATTATTTTCAGAAAATAGGACGAAATTTTGACACTGACAGAAAAGTGTCCTTAATTTTTTTCTATCAAAATCACGTTGTGGGACTTAATGTGTAGTACCTGGTAATAAAAAAGACAACATATGTAGTTGTACTTAAAAAGTATACTTTTAACTTTTAAATTTTTTTTAATTATTATAAAAAATGTAATAATAAAGCTATTAAGTTTAATTAAAAATATTGACGTTTAATGATGCAAGTAATAATACACAGTCGACTTAAAATAATTAAATTTTTTTTTAAATTTTATTGAAACAGAAATTTAAAATAAAAGAGAATATATGACAAATTTATAAATTATAGGGCTTGAAATGAACTTTTTTATGGTTTTAAATTAAAAAAATAATATTGAGTGAGGAATAGGTACTAGAGAAAGGGAAAAAAGGCAATTTTATAAGAACATTCACCCCAAAAACTTAACTTTGTTGCATTAAATCCTCATAAATATAAATTATTTTGAGATGAAAAACCTTCTCACAAAGAGTAGAAACGAGAAACATCAACTACTTTGCCAAAAGAAACAATTTGTAAGCGAAATTAATAAGAAGAAACTTGTCGCACAGTGTAATTGTATAATTATTTATTAAACATTTTTGTTTAGATTCCTCTACACAACATGACAGGAATAAAAATCCTAAACGTTTCCCACAACAACATCTGGAGGATACCAAAGAAAACCTTTCCAAAACTTTACGAGCTTCACACAATCGACATGTCGTACAACAATGTAAGCGATATTTTTAATGCCGTGTTTCAAACGTTGTTTTCCTTAAGATATCTGGACTTGAGTCATAACTCTATGGCGGCTATAAAACCGAGTACCTTCGGACCTTTGCCTACTTTGTTAAAACTGGACTTAAGCTATAATGGGATGACTACTGTTGCTAAGAGTTCTTTGACAAGGCTTGCTAGTATGAGGGAACTTATTCTCAGAGGTAAGACTTCCTAATAAATCCCGTCGCATTCGCCATTTTTGAAAAATTATTTTCTAGGTAACAATCTAAAAAACCTGTTTCTTCTACCAATATCAACATCACATATGGACTTATCGTACAACAACTTTGAAGAAATACCTTCAAATCAGTGGCCATCGATGAACTCCTTACTGCATTTGGACTTGAGCCATAATAAATTGGGCGATAATTTGGTACATGGTAGTTTTGCAGGTCTTTTAACCTTGCAAAGGTTAAATTTGAATTATAATGGAATGACACTGCCACCATGGGCTGCTATAAGCGAACTTACGTCTTTGCAATATTTATATTTGGAAGTAAGTGCAATAATATTCGTTTCTTAAAAGTTAACCGTGTTAATATACACTCACAGGCAAAATAATCGATCCACACAAATTTTGGATGAATTTCAATCGCAAATAACTTGTTTATTTGATGTCGGATTTAAATGAATATTAAAGAATATTGTAGATAAATTAATGGACAATTGCTCACATTTTAAAAATTACTAAAAAATAGATGTACGTTTATAATATACAGGTTTAAATAAAAAGATGTTTTTTACCATAAGTTTAAGACACTCTGTAGAGTGGCAAAACCGTATATTGTTCTAAATTAAGTTTTATTTATCAAGTCAAATCTACTCTTAACAGTTTTGTTTTTGGTTTACCTCGATATATTTATTTTTGTGGAAAATATGGATTAAAAAAAACATTGTAATTTCCAATATTTTTCTGTAGAAGAACTAAGGTTGCTATGGTCCACCCATAGGCTATGGAGAATGACAGTGACAGTTTTGTTGAATCATCCCATACTTGGACATGTCATACACGGCTTTCAAAAGCTATCAAATTGTTTTTTGCAAATTATTGTTTAAATTTTGAGGTGTCTTCTTACTTTAAAAAATGGATATGTCTCCGGCTGATGTTGCCAGAGCCATTAATTTAATCCAGGATGGACGGTCACAGTATTACGTGGCAAGTGTTTTAAACGTCACAAGAAGTAAAGTACAAAGGGCAACATCAGTCGGAGACATTTTTAAAAGTAAGAAGACACCTCAAAATTAACACATTAATTTACAAAAAACAATTTGATAGCTTTTGAAAGATTTATATGACATGTCCAAGTATGGGATGATCCAACAAAACTGTCACTGTCATCCTCCATAGGCTATGGATGGACCATAGCAACCTTAGTTCTTCATACAGGAAAATATTGGAAATTGCAATGTTTTCTTAAAAAAATCCATATTTTCCACAAAAATAAATATATCAACGTAAACCAAAAACAAAACTGTTAAAAATAGATGTGACTTGATAATTAAAACTTAATTTAGAACAATATACGGTTTTGCCACCCTACAGAGTGTCTTAAACTTATGGTAAAAAACATATTTTTATTTAAACCTGTATATTATAAACGTACGTGTATTTTTTAGTAATTTTTAAATATTTGTTTAAATCCGAAATCAAATAAAAAAGTTATTTGCGATTGAAATTCATCGAAAATTTGTGTGGATCGATTATTTTGCCTGTGAGTGTAGTTATTTTGAAGGATTTTATAATAATAAAAAAATGTTTTACCTTGGAATAGTTGTTGGCCACCTTGTGGCAAAATTGCTGTAGACCAGTGTTATTAAGATGAAATATATTTTTTTTCTATTTAGGCAGAAGTGTACTGTAAATTCTATAAAAATAAATTGGACCTCTTTTACTAAAATATTTAAATTATACTATATACATATTTCGGTAAAGTCAAACTTAAGGGGTCAATTAAAATTTTCCCGAACTTTAGGCTTAGGTGTAACTTATTACACACGCATAATGGAAATATCCTTTTCATAAATTTTGAGGGTCTAAGTTAAACAAGAGGCGAGCAAAGAAACTTTACATTAAATAAGTTCGAAATTAATTATGTCAAACTGTTAATGAATTCAACTTCAACTGTTTTATATTAAAGGCTTAACTTGCTTGGCGTGTATACATTTGTAATTAAATTTTACATAAACATTACTCGCTCGAATGGGGTTTCATATTAATTTTATGGTCGTGGGTGTTATGAAAAACATCTATGCAACTTAATAATATTCATAGAAGAAAATATGCTTCAGTCTGAACTTTTGCTTATGGATTTTTTCAAATTCATTTTATATGTATACGTACATAATATGTATAAAGGTTGCAAAGAGTAACCTTCTTATTTATTAAAAGAGATACAAGCAAGGTTAAATTAGAAAAAAAATAAATCGTAATTACAAGCCTATTAAAATAATTTTTTTTAATTCAAAATCTTTCGAAACCAAAATTACCATAACTTCATTAATATTCTATATTTTTATTTAATTTCTTCGCTTTTATATTTTGAATTACCATCACAATTTTTGTTTTAATAATGACATCCATAACTTAAATAGTTTGATAATACATCGTTGGATTTATTACTTTTTTTTCTATCCACTCAAGATTTAGTTGGTGAAAAAAATTTCAATAATCACATGTTTCCATAAGCTTTTAAATACACATTGACAAGTTATGGCTTTATGGTGTTTTAGTCACGGGCTGAAGTTAGCAACAGGTTTTTAGTCATGGCTGAAGTTAGTTTTAAGTTAGTTGACAGTTATCAAATGTCATAGAATGGTTAAAATAATGTACTTTTCTTGTAAAATAATACTAAATGGGAAAATTATTTTATCATCTTAAAACAAAAATACAAAAGTAAGTATTAAATAGTTGATTTCTCCGACAGTAAACTATATTTATACTTACTTACTTATAATTAACCATTAAAAATTTTAGGTGGAGACTCCACCGTGCGCATAAACCATTGTCTCCACTTTCACTGTGAAAAACTGCTTCTATATCGGATTTAACCGGGTATACATAATACAGATTCCCAAGTTGGAATGGTTATTCTATTGTTTTATAGATGTCGCTATATACAAATATTTCATTTAAATCATTTTTAGATAATAATAAGTATTTGTGGTAGAAAAAGTATAGTATGCAACTCGTTTATAAACTTTAATTATTAAAATTCGTGACTAAAATGGCGTTTCGATACATAATATACTATTAAAAACATTATAGAAGTTAAAACATTTTTTTAATAGTACATTTTATAATCTTTAAATTACTTAAAAATGTTAAAAACATAATTTAAAAAACCTTTTAGGAGAAAAATAGTTATTTATGTATCAAGGCAGTAAAGTCGTATTTTTTATCATGAATGTGGAAATTATTTGCCGAGGCGAAAGCCGAGGCAAATAACCACGTGAGTGATAAAAAATGACTTTAATGCCGAGGTGCATATTAAATTTTATCCGAAATCACCTTTAATAATACAGCCATTCCACGCTACTCGGGAAGTTTTGTAGCGTCCGTTACAATAAAAGGTTGTGAGTAAAACTACCGTAATTATTATGCTTATAAATTTAAGGCTAATTATTACAAGCATAATAAACATGTTTGCAATATTAACTATTGTAACAGTATTTAATTTAATTGCGGTAGCTTTTACTCACAATTTTTTGTTGTAACGGACGCTACAAAAATTCCCGACTAGCGTGGAATGGCTGAATACTACTGATGATCAAATCAAATGTCATTTGAATGTAGGAAGTGTCTGCGTATACTGTTTGTTGCGACGGTTATTATATATTTGCCCGCCACGGCGATTTTTTAATCCAATTAATAAAATTAACATATTATTTTTATAAAACAACATTTTATGAAAGAGTCCAATCGACCTCCGCGACGGTGCTTTTTTTAAAATATTATTTAGTTTCTGCTGAGGAGCAGTATACTGTATAGACACCAGTGGCCTAACAAGACAACGTGGGGCCCTGGTTTCAAATCTTAGAGGGATTTATCAAAAATCGCGACAGGAATGATTTCCGATACCTCACCTACCAGTTATACACCAATTATAATTATTTTAAACAAAGTTCAAAATGGACCTAAAACAATTCTACCACCACCAAAAACTGTTATTAGTTTAGTTATAAAAAAATTGTAATTGTATATTAGGGTGATTCAAAAAACTTAAAAACTAAAAAATTGGTTCTTAGGCACTTCTAGAAAGTGCTCACCAAATTTGAAAATAAAATTATATATACTATTTTTCTTTTTAATAAATTCTTCAAACTTTGATATTGAATTTTTTTTAAATGGTTAGGGTATTCGCTTAAACACTAGTCCTTTTTTGTAGGGCATTCAATTTCCTACAAAAATATGTATTGTAAAGATTTTATTAAACGATTAATTAATAATGAAATATGGTCTTTTTTATAAGGAACAAAAATAAAATGGAAAACTGTGATGAGGAGGATCTTCCTATTAATATTAAGAGCTCAAATTTGGTGAGCACTTTCTAAATGTACCTGAAAACCAATTGATTAGTGTCGGAAGTATATTTTTGGAAAGTTTTATATACAACCGTATAAAACGACAAACGTATACGTTTATTTATAAAACGAGAAACAATTTAAAAAATTTCAAATAAAGGAGTGTCGACACTCAAAAGTTCGTTTTTGTATGGTTTTTAAAATTACCACAATTTTTTTACGCTTTAACCGAGCCACAGGGCCGAGCCGGGCCCCCAATGGTTACGCCACTGGTAGACACATCTTAAATCGGCAAGTTCTATTTTACTGCCGATTTCTTTTACTTTACTGCCGATGGTTGACTCGATTTCGGATAAAAGTATATTTTAGAATTTTTGATACTTAAAAAATTTTAATAATACATGATACTATCATATTACAATGAACCTTTATAAATTAACTTGTAAATGGGTGATCCGTTAATAAAGTTATTATTATTATTATTAGTTCTTATGAAATTGTTAAGATTATTTCAGTAGTTTACCTCTTATATCTTTTACTTTCTCTTGTTCTTGTTCTTCCGTTTTTAAATGAAATTGAGATTGTCAATAACAATTTCTTAATAAAGATTTTACTGAGACTTTAAAAATTAATTATTTTATTCCATTTTAGGGCAATAACTTGACAAAACTGGAAAGGAATGCATTCGGACGACTACCTGTTGTGTTCGAGTTGAATTTGGCTCATAATAATTTATATAATATCAGCTCCAGAGCTTTTGAAGGACTCTTACAGGTTCTCGTATTAAATTTTACGAACAATAACCTGACTTATATACCAAACGGGGCATTTCAAGGTAAGTTAACAATATTGGTTTTATTGGATTTTTAAATTTTCTTTACTTTATACTGTTTATCAAGCAAGTTTTAGGAATTTTTTTTTATTAAAGGTTTAGTTAAAAATAAAAATCATCGATAATTGGCAGAAAAGATGCAGTTATGCATAAGAGAGTACAAAATACGTTTTGAATTATAAAACCAATGACGAAGGTTACAAAATTCATTCATTTTAAATATTAAAATTACAAAGTTTAGAGAAAACAACATTTTTAAGACAAAGAAATATACGTAAAATAAACATAGACCAAAAAACCTGTACGTTAAAAAAATTCTATTATGCAAATAACACAGGTCTGCAAAACTATTATTTTTTCTTATAAAAATGTTGATATTCGTTATAAATGTCTTGAAAGTAATCCAAAATGATATTAATAATATGGTAAATATAACGTGGTGTTTACCATATTATGATAAAAAACAGATTCAGACGTAAAGTGGATTTATTAAAAATATTAATCTACTTATCGCATCTATATAAATTGGACGCCTTTCTGCAGAAAGGAACCAACCCACAAAACCAAAAAAATCGAGATATTTAGCCTATGAACCAATTAAGTATGTATAATTTATCTGCAAAATAGGTCATAGCCAAAATGCAAGTGTAGTGAAATATATTAATCATTGAACCAACCAACATTCAATAATAGTGTGGATTACTAATCCAGAATTAGAATCTGTAGAATATCTGCAAGTGGGTTGGATCTTTTTTGTAAAAAAGCAGGCTGGTAGACCCACTACCAAAGTCTTTAAAGATTTCCTGCTTCTGCAAAATATAAAGTCTTGATGCATTTTTTTGGTAGCTTACAAGATGAGGTGGGGTTGGAAGATGATGTGGACGAATTTCAAATAGAATCAAAATTAATTCATATTACCATTATAATAGTAATATCAGTTGTATTTTGTTTGGAAATAAATAATTATCGCTTTTCTTTAAATACATACATACATCAGATAGTAGTTTTCATAAATTGCAGAAAGGAACCAACCAACAAAAGTCCATTTTTTTCGTCACCCTTACACATAATATCACAAAATCCACCTGATGAAATTATTAAATTATATCCCTTAAACCTCCGTAAGTCCAAAATCGGCATAAAATTAACAGGTAATTTTAAAATTATTAAAATCTTTGATAGCTTTTTTCTCAGTTTCATCATTGTGTGGGTTGGTCCCATTCTGCAGAAAGCCGTCCAATTGTAGTAGCGTAAAATTACGCCAAAAAATCTTAAAATGACTGTTATTTCAATGGAAAAATTTTAAAATCAAAAAGTACTTTTGGCAATATTAAGGGCTGAAACTTTAAGGGATTCTTTTAATTTAAACATGCCTAATGTGGTGTGAGAGTAAAAAAAAATGTGTATGTCCTATTGCGTAATAGTCCTTCGGAGGGGACTTTAAGCCCGCGGTCCGTTCCTACCCCTAACCCGCTCAAGCCATTCAGTTGGCTTCTGGGACTTCTTAGGAAGTAAGGGTGGAACTAAAAGAGCACTTTTGTGTATTGTATATTGTATGTATATGTATATAATTGAATAAAAAAATTGTGATGTGATCCGTTAAAACAAAGCTTACATTTATATAAAAATATTCAAATGGTACATTATATAATTGGCAAAGAAAGCGCTTATTTAAAGCCAAGCCGTGTTGTATATATACAACATATATAAAAAAGTATATATACTTTTTTATTTTAAGCATATAATACATAATTCTGTACTTACTTTGAAATTATCGAGTTTGTGACATTTTGTTAGATGTTATGTTGTAGGCTATATACATGAATTAATTCTACAGTGACCTTCAGTTTACATTTCTTTGCTTATTTAGAGCTAAACTCGATGGATAGAACCACTCTTCCTAAGTAATTTCAATGTATTTTTATTATTGTACGGCGGTGTATAAAAATTTGACTTTTGAAGTGCGTGCAAATATGAAGTCTTTCTATATGTGTAGGCTTATAAGTGTTATAGTATAAAAATTATTATTCACTTGAAATCGCAGACCTTCGTAATAAAGGTTTAGTAAATTTTGAAATTTTTGTATAATTTTAAAAATTTGTGGACATTATTAAAATTATTTTTTTTAAATCTTGTAAATTTGTCCTTCCATTATTAAATTTATGCCAATATTTTTGCTAAATATAAAAATCAATGTTTGCATTAATCAACATGCAGAACAATGTTCACGTTATAAGAAAATTACAAAAAAATTGGACTCTATAGAGTAGAGTAGTTTATAAACTTTCCAATTCTGCACTTAACTTATTTTTATTTTAAAATGCACTTGTACCCTTTTGCTTCTTACCCCTTCAATTGTAATGTATCTAATAAATGTAATTGTCCAATTTTTTTCGGCAAATGTTTAATTTAACCAAACGTCTTGCATTCAGCGACTCTATATTATTCTATTCGAGATTAATGACGCAAGGTAAAACATTAACCGAACGAACTATGCGTTAAGCCTGACCTTTAATTGTGCTCCAGCCGTGGGATGCATGTTGCAGAACTCCCACACATCGATGACGTCACTTCAAAACTAACCTTTGAAAACAAAAAAGTTACAAATTACTCAAATAATAAAAAGACAAAAAACACCTGAAATAAAAGTGGTGATATTACTTTTTAATTCAATTAAGCTGAAAATCTTTTAACTAAAACTATCCAAAGTTGTTTTCCTTTTAAATAATCAAATTAAAGCATCTCTCTCACGTACTCTACTTTAATTTAAAGGGGACACTTAGCAACTTCGTTAAATTGGAATCCTTTCGCGCGTCACTTGTGCATTTAGCAAGCGAAATAGTCTTATAAGAGTGCAATTTCAGTTTTATTTATAACATACTTCGAGATTGTTAATGAATTTCTCAGCGAATAGTTAATTAATTCAAGGGGTTTTAGTTTAGCAGAGTAAACTAGATCACAGGCACTATTTAAGGAGGGATTGCTTTACTTTGCTAAATAGTTCATGTTTGTTTTGGATTAACCATTAGGTTTTTTGTTTTAGGATTGGTGGCTTTGCAAACGTTGGATTTATCCCACAACAAGATTGGGAAAATTGATAATAAGACTCATGGATTGTTGGACGATTGTTTGTCTCTAGAAAGAGTAAGTAATTTTATTTTATATAGTTTATATTTATGAAATTTATGATTTACACAAAATATCAAAATTTCTTTTTTCACTCCTACCTTTAAAACCCCATTATCGTACTTGTTTACAGATGTCAAATGTCATATAATGGTAAAATAAAGTGCCCTTCTTTGTGAAATAATACTAAATGTGAAAATTATTTTATTATCTCAATACAAATATACAAAAGTATTTAATAGTTGCAAAGATTATATGAACGTTTGTACTGAACTAGATTTAACTGAGAAAGCATTAATCATTTTGCGAGTAGTGCCCATAAAACATTATCTTCACTTTTACTGTGAAAAACTGCTTCTATATTGACTATTTTCAAGGGAGAAATTTTGATTTACACAGAAAAATTTAAATGCTGCACAGTGGTCGGAAACACACAAAAAACTGGCCAAAATTTAAATAGAGAGCAAATTTATTTGAAAATAAATACATTAATTTTTTGGGGTCCGAGAATTGAAATTTGAGGTCAAAATAGTAAAAAACAAAATGGCAATTGAACGCAGCCAAATTTTTAATATTATGTTAAGTTACTTCTTAACATTTAAAAAAAAAGTTTTTCATTTACTTTTTGTTGACTAAAAGTTTCTGAATAAATCACTTTGAGGTCACTATTACAAAACATCATGCATGAATAACATAAACCTCGTATTAAAATTTTATCATACGTACCTTCAGCAACTCGCTTCATGTATCTTCGAAGAAATCGCACTTTAAACTAAAATCTACAGCACTTTAACAGAGCGTAAAATTTGACGTTTCGAAACGTCTCGCTCAGGTATTGCGGTAGGCCTTCTTATGATTTTTTCAATTTTGGCCAGCTTTTTCCAATTTTCCGACCACTGCACAGTGTGTTAAATTAATTATCTAGCTAGACAAAACCTAATTTTAAAACAACCTGAAATTAAGACAAATTTAATTAAATAAGCTTCTTCAGTTCTCCCTGTTATGATTTCCATTAATTAGAACGTACTGCAACAGTGTATTCAGCACTATGCAGGCGTCAGTTCCGGGCGTATCATTTTTTATAAATATACTTAGCCGTGTATGTGTTGCAGAAAGGTGGAGTGATTTTGACATTGTTTCAAGTTAAATCAAATTTTGAACTTTGCCGCTATGAATCTAGGTATATATTACTTATTTTTTATAATTAGGGATTTATAATATCAGTAATCAGCAACAGGCTATATATATAGAAATTCACTTGGTGTTGTTAAATATGGACAATATTTATTAAGCAAGAAGTATTGTAATCGAGCAATATCGGGTGCACTATCAATATTTGTTTTGTTTTATACCGTCTAAAGATTACTTATGTGCCTTTATTTCTTGCCCCAATTTGCCTCTTCTACAGGGTGAAACCAAAAACCGGCTCACTCCTTTTTTACTATTAAATTTTAAAATAGAGTTGAAATTTGGGAGCAATAATAAAGAGTTAATTTATAATTATTTCAACCTTCAATGGATACCACAAAACTTCCGGTTTCCCCGGAAATAATGCCAACTTTTGTTTTTTCAATGAAACCCTATGCATATCTTTGCATATTTCAAATCAGGAGAAAATTTTGAATTCGATACTTACACTTTCAGGGGAATTTTATAATGATCTTAATTTTTTTTGTAATTTAAGTTTTCCATAAGTGTAATTTTCGTGGAAAACACTAACCGAATTTTTATGACATTGGTTGGTTTTGATTGGGGAAAACATATGTATTTAAAAAAACATTAGCAGCCACTCTGATGGTATTTAAAAAGTTGAGTTAATTAAAAAAACAATTTATCAGCAACATTTACTATTTATGCATTTTACTGCAAATTTGGATGGTAAAACTAATTGATTCTCCAAACTGCAGCTTTCTGGATTGAAAACTAAAACTGGACAAAAATTCAAGGTCAATTGCAAAATGGTAGCGAATGTGCATTTATCGGATTCAAAATTTTCTCCAGATTTCAAATATACAAAAATATACAGGGCGTTTCTTTGGAAAAACGAAAGTTGACCAATTTTCGACGAAGCCGAAAGTTTATTTTTTATCACAAGGCGCCGGCCATTTTGTAATTAACGAATTTAATTTCTGCATTTTGGATGTCAGATTTGGATTCAGTGAACCCAAATACCCCGCTTCCAAAGAAAATTTATAATTTTTGATGTCATTTAGGTTTTGTCTAGCTAGATAATCAATTTAACACACTGTGCACTGTGCGCCGGTAGATTCCCAAGTTAGAAATTCTAACGCGAATTCCAATATATACAATTGTCACTTTTTGTACCTTCAACATTTTCCGTGTAAGAATTTTTAATACTTTCTGATACTATTTTGCAATTAGATATACCTAGTAATAAAAAAATAAAAGGATAACATTTTTTTAATATAAAGGTATTTTAATATATTAAAGTAATAATAAACATTATTGTTAAGTTTAATTAAAATTAATAACAGGCAATGTTAATAGTGACAATTACGTCAAAAATGTTTATTGGAATGTTTACTTTATTTTTGTATAGATATCGCTTTATACAAATATTTAATTTAAATCATTTTTTTAGATAATATTAAGTATTTGTCGTAAAAAAAGTATAGTATGCAACTCGTTTATAAACTTTTTTAGACACTCATTTAATTAAGTACTCGCTCGTGCCTAAATTAAATTCGTGACTAAAATGGCGTTTATCAAAATTATATACTATTACATAAATTTTACGATACTTGTTCTTGACACATATTTTACATCACGATAACAGTATCTGCAGGATATGTGGTTTATATGCATATTCATAAATAGTGTAATTAATTAATAACCCGCAACGAAAGCTCTTGAAGATACAATATTGAAATTGGGTTAAAACGTGTATTTGCAAACAACCCCGAAAATAAACATTAATTAACATGTCAAGTTGCATTGACATTGTTCTCAGTCTAATTAATTCTTGCGAAGGGTGGAGTGTAGAAAAGCAGTACCGGGTTTAAAAAGGGGCAAATTAAATGCCAATAAAATAATTTATTAAAATTTTTTAATATTTTAGCAAAGTTTAGTAAACAAATTTTATTTCAATAAAAAAATTTAATTTTTAGCTGAACTTAAGCCACAACAAAATGAGCTTTCTTTCGAGAAAAACGTTCCCTAGCAACCAATATATCCCCTATAAATTAAGGGAGGTCGACCTGTCTTATAATATAATACCGGTGATTACTTTTGATCTAACATTTGGTACGTCGAAATTGGAAAAATTAAATCTTTCGCACAATGCCATCTCTGACATCAGGAAATGTAAGTATTTTATAACGGAAATTTGAGTCAAAAGAAGCCTCAGATTAGAGAAATGTCTTTAATATATTTGTCAAATTACCAAACTAATTTTATAGTGCTAGTAAGCATAACCTTAATTTAAATAATTATAAATAGGATTTGCTTTGCGAATTCTAAACTTTTTACATTCCTAATAAAAAATCCTTTCAAATCCTAAAATTGATTTTTACTGCCCAATAAAACGACGTTCTTATCAATTCCCATCCACACTGCTTTAATTTACATTTCTTTTTTTAATATTTTTTACGTTTTATAATTTTCAAATTTTCTGTTAGTGACTTTCAGATAAAAGTTTTACTTACTTTACTTCTTATGTTATAATCAAGAAATATAATATTATTAGGTTTTGCCTTTTCTTATAAAAAACTTATATGTGCCTAATGGATGTATTATTATAATGAAAGAAAGTGAATTTAACTTAACTTGAGGCCTCATGTATTTTATGCAACAAAATAATTTTATTTCTATGTATATAAATTAAACTTTATTGTTTGAACCATTCGACACTGAAGTAATTGATTATGGTTTAAACCCATTTGGAACAATCGGGTTTTAAATTGGGCGAAACTTTTTCGCTCCTCATATTCAATTATTAAATTCGAAATCTGTCAGACGGTTTAAACCTCACTTTCTACTTTTAATAATTGTAGGTTTTATGTATGGTTTAACAATGGCTTTAAATTCTGAAAACTTAAGAAGATAAAATTTTGTATCATTCGGCCCAGAAGGTCTTCTAGCATAATGATATAAATAACTATTACATGTTTTCTATGGTTTATCATAACTATTAACGTTTTTCATTATTTTATTAATGTTATCCAATTTTTATATAATTTTTTATTGTTCTTTTTTTAATTTTTAGATACTTTGTACCAATTACATTTTGATTTAATTGTCATAAATTTTTATTATATTTGTATTTTCCTTGTTATAATACAATGTATTATCTATTTTTTATGAAAATTTATTATTTATTTTTTACAAATTTACTGTTTTACCTATTAATTAATTGTTTTTTTAGTATTTTCAAAAATTTCTCATGTATACAGGGTGTCCCGAAAATGGCATCTTTATGGTGTACCACATTGTAGAGGAAGATGTTTTAAGTATAAATAATATTATTTTTTTTCCGGCAAATAGTTTCAAGTTATTATGCATTAAAGTTTAAAAAACTTGGCAAAGCTGTATTTTCCTAGTCCGATCTGTTATTATTGGTATTTAGAAATCTACATAAAACAAATTAAATTTAATTTTGAAAGCCTTGTATTTCTGAATTGATTTAAATTGGCTATTTATAATTATTTTATTGTGTTTTTAAAACGATCATTATCATAGCAACAGGTTTTTAGTCACAGAGCAAAGTTAGTTTTAAGTTAGTTGACAGTTGTCAAATCGTCACCTGAGAATTTCTAGCGTTCTATCTGATTTTTTTTTTTTAATTGAGGTCAGTCTTGTTTTATGTCTTAAAGATGCATATTGTTTTATCTATATATAATTGGGGTAGAAATTGTACATGTTAAGCCTTAAACTGTACAATTTCTACCACAATTATATATAGATAGAACAATATGCATCTTTAAGACATAAAACAAGACTAACATCAATTTAAAAAAAAATGCAGATAGAACACTATAATTCTCAGGTGACTAAATGTCATACAATCGTTAAAATATATTGCCCTTCTTGTTAAATAATACTAAATGTTAAAATTATCTCAATACAAAAATACAAAAGTATTAAATAATTTCTCAACGCTAAAAGTTTATAAGCAAAGTGTATAAACATTGTACTGACATTTTAATTTCGCCGGCAGTTAACTAGATTTAACTTAATTTTGGGTAGATACTCTACCGTGGAGTGCCCATCAAACATTTTTTTCACTTTCACTTTGAAAAACTGATGTTAGTCCATTTTAAAGGGAAACATTTCGATTTACACATAAAAATTCGACATTTTCACTGGTGCGCCGGTATTACAGATTCCCAAGAATGGTTACTCTATTGTTTGATAGATGTCTCTCTATACAAATATTTAATTTAAATCATTTTTTAGATAATAATAAGTATTTGTCTTAGACATTCATTTAATTAAGCACTCGCTCGCAAGCTCGCTCGTGCGTTATTAAAATTTGTTATCAAAATGGAGTTTATAAAACTTGATACATAATTTACGTACTAACATCTAATTTAACCTTATTTAATGTAGAAATAATTTTAACCAAATTTTCTAATATTGCTCCTTTTTAAGATTTTTTAATGCTTTCTTAATAAAAACATAATTTTATATAATTTTAAAATTTTTTTTTTAATTAATTTTTTTTATAAATATCTTTATTTAATATTAGTTTTGTTAATTTGTAATGCAACGGTTATTGTGTTTTTTTATAGTTTTTTTTAATAATTATTTTGTAAACATAATATATTATATTAATTAATATTAATATTAATTTAGGGGTATAAAAGCAAAACCAGCTATCTCCATTTTTTAAAAATTTTCAGGGAACACAAGTTTCTAATACAGCGTTAAAACTTGTATTTTTTAGATTTTTTGTAATGTATTGTATGTAGCGAGTACACTTTTGGATCTCGGAATGATTGCCGGTGAGTCAGTGTTCGAGCGATATAGAGCACACCGGAGCTCGCTGGAATGTTCGGGAAGGCGCTTGCGTGACGTGAGGCACGTACGCATTGCGTCGTAGAATCAGTCAGACTTTGGTACTCGCGACGAAATAAAATAAATATACGTGCAAATAAATAGACTCTTGGACAGTAGTGATATATAAATAATTAGTAGTTAAGTACTAACTAAAGTTAGTTTTATAGTTTCTTAGTGGTTTAAGTGTAATTAAGTTATAAAAATAAATCGTTTAGTTCGTTAATAAACCAGTGCGTGTATTAATTCACACTGCGAATAGTAAAATCGTTACAGTATGTTTATTTTAACATGTCAAAATTAACATTAATTACAAAAAACCGTAAAAAAAATATTTTTTTTCTACTGCTATTACGGAATATGACCGTTCTAATATCACTTATTAATGTAGAATGAGATATATTCCTAAAAGTTTTACAGAATGAATTATTCTATCATCGGATGACGGAATGAACACTGGTGGCGACATCTCTGTGTTTAATATCTAACAAATTTAGACCGATCCAACCTCACTTTCTGCCAATAAAATTACTTTTATATGGTATATTTTGGAAACGTTGAAAAACTTTAGTCTGAAAAACGTTTGAAATTGCATATTCCAAACTTGTTACATAATATACTATTTTTAACGTTTTATTAGAAAATTATGTGCCCGAAAATTTTTACAAAATCCTCAAATGTTACACTTTTTCTTAAACTTTATATTTCCGACGTGAAGTTTTCTAAAAAAGCTCTTAATGCAAAAAAACAAGTGGATGTGATATACACCGATTTTTCCAAGGCGTTTGACCGGATTTTCCATGGCATCTTTTTAAAGAAATTAGACTCCTTTGGCTTTTCTAGGTCAATGATTTCATTATTTAAATCATATCTTTCGAAGAGAGTTCAATAAGTTGAGTTTAAGGGTGTAAAATCTGATGTGTATCACGCTACTAGTGGTGTAACACAGGGAAGCAATATTGGTCCATTGATGTTTCTCATATTTGTTAATGATATTTCCTGTAATATTCAATCATCAAATTTGTTATACGCAGACGATTTCAAGATATTAAGATCAATTAATACCATACATGACTGTCATCTTTTGCAAGACGATCTGAGTGTATTGGATGCGTGGTGTGTAGGAAATCGGCTTTTATTAAATATAAAGAAATGTAATGTCATGACATTTTCAAGAAAAATCAACAGCATAACATTTCAGTGCAATTGGTTCGGAAAAAGTTGAAAGAGTGGATACAATACGGGATTTGGGTGTTCTGTGTGATGGTAAACTTTCATTTGTTGTGATTAGAAACTCTAAACACTTTACTAATATTCACGCTATAAAATGTTTATTTTTTGCATTTGTTCGAAGTAAATTTGAGTATTTTACTTTGTTCATATTGATAATATTGAAAGAGTTCAAAAGAGATTTTGTAAATACTTGTTTTTTAAGATGGCTATTATCCTTTAATTGATTTTGATTATGAAACTGCACTTTTTTACCTTAATATGGAAAGTCTTGAAATGCGTCGTCGAAATGCAAGATTAATTTATTTATATAAGCTAATTAATGGATTAATATTGGACCCTGAACAACTACTAAAAATCAATATTCACGTGCCTAGAGTAAATGCAAGATTTTGTCCAACTTTTATTTAAATGCTCATACAAACAACCAGCACATGCATGCTCCATTGACGTCGATGTGTGGAACATAACCAAATTTTGAATAATTGTGATATTTTTAACCATAATTTAAATTCATTTGTTCGAATTATTCGTTCATTATCCTAAGTTGTTTTATTTATGGTATTTTGTCCTAATTAGCTATTTTAAATTTATCAACCTATAACCGTAATTTGTTACTGTAACCTAAATAATCTATATCCTTTATATGGACTGTTGTCTGTTGGATTAATAAAGTATTATTATTATTATTATTATTTATTTCAGTTTCTAACGTTGGTTTCTTATTTTTGGAAAAACTCGTTATAATTATTATGAATTTCTATTATTTTTTATTTCTTAGTTAATAACAGTGATGTAAAGTTCTATTTAAATCGTTTATTTTAAAATAAAAGTAATATTTTTAGACAAAAACTATAAGACAGTGTATATCTGTTCACATCTCCCCCTTACACATAATAAAACTAAATCTCTTTTCCAGTCGTAATGGGCAACTTGACGCGCCTAAAGGTCCTGGATATGTCCTACAACAAGCTGTACGACCTGACGAGCGAGCGGGACTTTTTCCGCCTGCCCGCGAACTTGACAGAGCTCTACTTGTCCCACAATCAGCTGCCGGATTTGCCGTGGCCTCACCTGATGAATGCCTCTCATATTTCAGTATTAGACGTGCGCGACAATTTGTTTAACGAATTCGGACCGGATCTGACAAACATGGTCGTCGCACGGGGGACCGATGTTTATTTTGAAGGTGAGTGATGGAGTGTTATTTATTTTTTCTGACGGATATGAGTTTTATTTTATTTTATTTTCATTAGGTTTGGTGGAAGGTGTAGGCTTGTAAATATTTTTTTGTTTTATTTTGAATAATAAATTACAAGAAAATAGGGATGTATTAATACTTACTAGTTTTTTAAATAAAAATATAAATTATAAAAGATCAAAAACAATTTAAAAAAATCTAAAACAATATAATGAAACTCTTGAAATTCGTGTTATAGCACCATAGATCCTCGAAAGCACGAACAGGAGTTTCAGACTTTCTTTTCAAGGTCGAACGATGGGAGGGACAAAATTTCGTCGACGTCGTCTTTTATAAATAATTTCCTAAAAATTATTGTTGATTTTTAATTATTAAATTATTTAAAAATTAAAATTATTTAAGTTTAAAATCTGAAATTTTAAATGAAGGAAATTCATAAAAGCAAAAGCTGAGAGCAGGGTCGTAAGTTTGAATTCCAATAACTTTGTTAAAAATTATCGGATCTTATTGATTTAAAAACCAAGTGAAAGCCTAACAAGCCCTTAGTAAACCCTTGAAGAAAATGTTTGTTTAGTTATTTCAGAATAATTTTTTTTTAATTTTGAAACTTGTGAAACACACATTTTCGCATGTCCCGTTAGCGTTTTACAAAACTTACATACATGTTTTTTTTTAAATATTAATATCAATTGAATAACCAGAACTTTGTGTTGCTTTATAGCAATCCATAACATCCTTAGTTAATAAAGTAAACAATTTATATATAAATTAATTAATTTTAATCTACTTTTTTAAATTTGACTCATGTCCCAGACATTTTTTCCGTTGCGTTACGTCCGTCGTGTTACCGATAGAATATTTAAAAAAACATATATATGGCAACTTTTTTGGCACTCACGTGATTAACAAATGATGTTCGGACGTACACATTACTCAGGAAGAAGATATCGGTTGAAACAGGTGCGGGTAACGCGAATGTAATAATTGTTTGTCCGCTAAGTTACTCAAAAAAATAATAAAAATAACTTTTTTAAAAATTATCGGATCCTATTGATTTAAAAACCAAGTGAAAGCCTAACAAGCCCTTAGTTCTTTCAGAAAATGTTTGTTTAGTTATTTCAGAATAATTTTTTTTTAATTTTGAAACTTGTGAAACACACATTTTCGGAGTCCCGTTAGCGTTTTATAAAACTTACATATATGTAGTTTTTTAAATATTGAATAACCAGAACTTTGTGTTGCTTTATAGCAATCCATAACATCCTTAGTTAATAAAGTAAACAATTTATATATATAAATTCATTAATTTTAATCTACTTTTTTAAATTTGACTCATGTGATTAACAAATCATGTTCGGACGTACACATTACCCAGCTAAATTTATTTATTCAATCAGGAAGAAGATATCGGTTGAAACAGGTGCGGGTAACGCAAATGTAATAATTGTTTGTCCGCTAAGTTACTCAAAAAAATAATAAAAATAAGGTAAGAAAAAATACTTTTTTTCATGTTTATTTTAGGGCACTAAAGCTCATTGAGAGTAATTAATGACTGTAATGTTTTATTATTATTTTTTAAATATGGTTTCACAAAACTTTGTCCACTGCGTTACCGAGTCCATTACGTTACCTTATGGTAACGCAATAAAATTTTTCGACAACAAAGTGGATATTTACCGTCGCTTTTATTAAAAGTAGTTTATGATAAACCAATTTAAAATTATTTGTGATTACAACTTATGATATAAACTGCGCACCACTCAATGTGTCGCGACGAAAAAGTTCGTCCTTTTTCAAAACGACATAACTTTTTTGTTTCTTGAACGATTTTATTTTGGTCTGTGAAGTCTGCTAACACCATCCTCTGGCGATTCATGCTATAGATATTAAGCATACGGTTCTTCAAGTAAATTTCCTACAGGGTGATATGTAAAATGGTGAAAAATTTCAATAACTTCATCCAAGCCCCGTTTGTAAAACAATAATTTTTTTTTCGTTTTTACTTTGAAATAATGTAGTATTATGTGTTACCTTGAAATGTTTTTCAAATTTTTCGAATTGGAATCTTAGCAACGAAAATATGATTTTTTTTCCAAAATAGTACATTTAAGGCTTTTTTGGTAGGCAATATATTCAGTCTTTTTAAGAACAAGAAAATAAGATGGTAAAAGATTGTTCCTTGAATAATTCTGAACAAGCGACAAGCAACAAACTTCCATTATTTTCAGAGGGGCCTAAGCAAAGACCATTTTTTCAAAATGACATTTTGGTGAAAATTTGCGAAAACTAAACCTGAACCGATATTTACGTTCGTGACATGTTTTCTTTATAATTTTGACCTCCTGATTGTGATTCAGTTATCAAATTTAAGTTTCAGATAAAACCAAAATCGTCAAAAATCAAAATTCAAAAGCAATTTCCTTGTTAAATGTCTTAATAAAATCCGATTGCTGTCGTGTTTTTTGCATATTTATGATAAAAATGCCATTCGGGGATTCATTTTTTGGGCGAAATTACTGCAATTTGTTTGAGTGGTTAGGATAATGTTACATAACTTACATTTACATTGCGCAGTAGTGATAACATCATTGATAAGTACCTACCTAATTTATAATAAAGTTAAATACAAATATTTTTGTTCATTTTTAAAAATTGTATGCGTAGATATAATTATAATCAAAACTTCAACATTCAACAGAAAAATGTAACAAACAATAACAATAATACCTTTCAATATTTCGTTGGCCCTCCCCTAAGCAGTAATAATTTGTTAACCCTCCTGGACATTCCCTCGACCAAGTTCCTTAGAAATTTCTGGGATACCCCATTCTTCCTGAATAGCATTTACCAATTCATCCAAATTTTCCATGCCTCCTTCCCTCTCTTTCATCTTCAATTTTATCCTGCTCCACACATGCTCAATAGGATTCATATCCGGAGACAAAGGTGGCCCATTCATTTTCTCAATATGGTGGTCCCTTAAATACTCATTTACGATATGTAAAAAAACATTAAAAACCAGCAATCGGACAGCCGCGAATTGTTTTCGAATCTTGATTCGTAGTGATTTTGGTTTTATCTTAAACTTAAATTTGAAAACTGAAACACAATCAGAAGGTCAAAATTATGAAGAAAACATTTTACGAAAGTAAAAATCGGTTTAGGTTTAGTTTTTGCAAACTTTCACAAAAATGTCATTTTCAAAAAGGGGTCTTAGCTTAGGCCCTCTGAAAATAATGGAAGTTTGTTGCTTGTCGCTTGTTCAAAATTATTTAAGGAACAATCTTTCACCATCTTATCGTCTTGTTCCTAAAAAGACTGAGTGTATTGCCTAAAAAAAAGCCTTAAATGTACTCTTTTGGAAAAAAAATCATATTTTCCTTGCTAAGATTCCAATTCGAAAAATTTGAAAAACGTTTTAAGGTAACACATAATACTTCATTATTTCAAAGTAAAAACGAAAAAAAAATTATTTTTTTACAAACGGGGCTTGGATAAAGTTTTTGAAATTTTTCACCGTTTAACATATCACCCTGTAGGAAGTTTACTTGACCAACCGTGAGCTTCATATCTATATCATAAATTGCCAGAGAATGAGGCTAGCAGACATCACAAACCAAAATTAAATCGTACAAGAAACAAAAAAGTTATGTCGTTTTGAAAAAGAACGAACTTTTTGGTCGCGACACATTGAGTGGTGCGCAGTTTAGATTACATCCAAGGAAAAATTCCACGCAATATACAAGTACTTAGACACCAGCTTATAGTCAAAGAAAAAGGGTGTCTATAATTTAGAAATCTAAGTTGTTATTCTGCAAGTGAGCACTACTACAAGGGATTTTGTTTATGCATTACTCTAAAATCGTACCATCCTATATAGTTTCTTTTTTAAGTTATCTGATTAAGTCCTTTGTGTACCCCAGTCCGTTGTGATACCAATGTCTATTTCTTTACTTTTTTAGTTTTTGTTAAAAAAAAACCTTAAAATGATTTTACTATCACTTGGTAATACCTGTTTATAAATTAGAGTTTAACTCACTAATACAGTGACTAAAAGAAAATATTAATGGTATTGTTTTTTTTAACAAAGAATCGGAATGGTGTCTTTTAAAAAGTAACTTAACTAACATAAATATTTAAAAAAGGCATACAAAAATAAAAAATAAAATTGGGTTCAAAAGTTTGCAAACTAAGTACATTTTATTTCAACTTCTTTTATTGAATTAAATTTTGTTTTTCAAATTAGTAACACAGTGGAGACACATAAAGCTAGCTAAACACATTTTTCTGAAAAAAAACGTAAAAAAAAATTAAAAAATGCATAACCTTTCTTAAATGTAAGTAAACAAAACTCTAAACATTTATAGCAAAAAAAAATTTTGATCTTCATTTTCCTGAAAGCGGGTGTTTCTTGAAAATGACCCAGCAATGAAGATGACAAATTAAAAAATAAAAAATGTTCAGGTAATGAGATCTCTTGCCTGGGTTAAACGTAAACATTGTTGTCTTAAATCTTTTAAAAATCTTTTGTCAGACTGTGTTTACTAACCTTTCAAAAAGGAATGTTATACTTCAGGACGCCAACGATTTAAAGTAAAAATTAAAGAACTAGTTCTTTACCCCAGAGCCAAAATCTCTAGCAACAACTACAGAATTCCACTCTAGCGGGATTATCTTTCGTCTGCAGGTGCTTCACTTGCTTGCAACTTCCCTTATGCTCTTCCTACTATTTGCATCAAAGGAATTAAAAATAGCTTCTTTTTTTTCCGCTGTTCTAATACCATGTCCATGTATTGGTATTGGCTATCGTGTTTTATTCTTATCTCGCTTATACTTTGTGTTAGATAATTTTAATTTTCAAATATGTGTTTCGCATAACTTTCGGCACGTTCCCTTTTTCTTTGTGGCACAAGTTCTGGGACACCCTGTATAAGTTAAAAAATTCAGACAAAATTATTTTGTCAAGACTTAAATACAAAATCAAAAAAATCAAGATATTTAAACCATTATATTTACATGTTTTTTTAAAACTGGCTCACTAACACTCTTCCAGACAACAACAATTTAAAATAAAATTTTATTCATATCCTAAAAAAATCAAGATCAATTTAAAAATAATATACATATATTGTCAATAACAAAGTCAACCTCAACAGCAATTTTTTAAATATTAAATGACTTTAATCAAATTACTTTTTATGCTTGAAATACCACCCCCCTTTTTTTAAACAATATAAAACCATAAAACCATAAAAAACAATATCAGAAAATTTAAATAGCTAAGTTGAAAAAACATCGAATTTGCATAGCATTGCATTCAAGATTTTTTGTTATATTTTGTTAATTTATTATAAATAATTTTTAATTTATTATAAATAAATAAAAATGTAGTATATTTAATTTTTTAAATTAACAGTGTGTCATTTAGCACCAGGGTCACTGTTACAAAACAGTGTAAAAAAAGATGTTAGACATTTTAAGAACATAAATATATTAGGCTGAGCTAAAAGTTTAAAAGCAGACGAGTAGCGGAGGCCTACAGTTGAGTGAAGCACTAAAAGACACTTCTCCAACATTTTATCTTCAAGGCATAATTTTAAACAAAACACAAAACAAAAAATTTTAATAATAATTTAAAAAAATAGAAAGTGAGGTTAGATAAAGTAGTAAAATTTTATGATTGTTTTTTTTTAAAGTAATCTAATTTAATTTACTTGCGTTCATACAAAAAGTAACGTAATTTTATTTTACAAAAAAGTGAAGAACAATATTTTATAGACCGTACTAACCTAACGTATATTGGTAATTACAGTCGAAGTAGTTTTCTTATTATTAAAACCGTTTACACAAAATAGGTTAGATTCTCCAAAATAGGTTGGATTAGTATTAAATAACCTTGAAATAAAGTAATTTAATGTAAAAGATAAAAGTTGGCTAACTATTAAATTAAATTAAATTACGTCTTAAATTAAATTATTTTTCTGTTAGAACCCAGCTTTACAGACTAGGGGTGAAACACTTTATTCGATTGGTCTAAAATATTTTTAATAATACTAATAATAATGGTGCCAATGGCCGCAGCAGTCGACGCACCTTATTGAAACAAAAAAAATAATAATAATGACATTAATCATAATAATAATAGTAATATTATTAATAAATCTTTTTTTTTTAATTATTAATAAACACTCACAGGCAAAATAATCGAACCACACAAATTTTCAATGAATTTCAATCGCAAATAACTTTTTTATTTGATGTCGGATTTAAACGAATATTAAAGAATATTGTATATAAATTAATGGGCAAACGCTAACATTTTAAAAAATTACTAAAAAATTGACGTACGTTTATAATATACAGGTTTAAACAAAAATATGTTTTTACCATAAGTTTAAGACACTCTGTAGAGTGGCAAAACCGTATATTGTTCTAAATTAAGTTTTATTTATTAGGTCACATCTATTCTTAACAGTTTTGTTTTTGGTTCACCTCGATATATTTATTTTTGTGGAAAATATGGATTTTTTTTAGATAACATTGCAATTTCCAATATTTTTATTTATGAAGAATTAAGGTTGCTATGGTCCATCCATAGGCTATGATGAATGACAGTGACAGTTTTGTTGAATTATCCCATACTTGGACATGTCATACACGGCTTTCAAAAGCTATAAAATTGTTTTTTGCAAATTAATGTTTAAATTTTGAGGTGTCTTTTTACTTTAAAAATGGATATGTCTCCGACTGATGTTGCTAGAGCCATTAATTTATCCAGGATGGACGGTCACAGTATTACTTGGCAAGTGTTTTAAACGTGACAAGAAGTAAAGTACAAAGGGCAACGTCAGTCGGAGACATTTTTAAAAGTAAGAAGACACCTCAAAATTAATACATTAATTTACAAAAAACAATTTGATAGCTTTTGAAAGCTGTATTTGACATGTCCAAGTATGGGATGATTCAACAAAACTGTCACTGTCATCCTCCATAGGCTATGGATGGACCATAGCAACCTTAGTTCTTCATACAGAAAAAATTTTGGAAATTGCAATATTTTTTTTAAATCCATATTTTCCACAAAAATAAATATATCAAGGTTAACCAAAAACAAAACTGTTAAAAATAGATCTGACTTGATAATTAAAACTTAATTTAGAACAATATACGATTTTGCCACTCTACAGAGTCACATCTTTTTGTTAATTTTTTAGTAATTTTTAAAATGTGAGCGATTCTCCATTAATGTATCTACAATATTCTTTAATATTTCTTTAAATCCGAAATCAAATAAAAAAGTTATTTGCCATTGAAATTCATCGAAAATTTGTGTGGATCGATTATTTTGCCTGTGAGTGTATTAAAACCACATAGAAAAACATAAAACTTTAAAGGATATCAAATTTTATTATTAAAATTATATTGTTATATTTAGATTTTAAAGTCTTTTAAAACACAGCATATTGAAATAAATAATTAAGATTTTTAATTAAAAAATGTGAATGTATTGTTTATCTTTTTTTTTCTTAAGTATTTTCTTTATAATTCTAAAAAGTAAAAGGCATACTTAATGTTCTTTATAATAAAAACCACAAATATCAAAAGAAAAATTAAAAAATGTAAAAAATTCAGTTTAAATTAATCCCGGCGCATTCGCCATTTTTTGAAGTATTGAACAGGATCTGGTGAACGGATTTGATGAATATACTATATATAATTAAACAATAAATTACGCATAAAAGAACAAAGTTTAACTGCATAACCCAAATCTTTAGTTTTGTTTTTATTATTGCAAATATTCTTTTAGGAAACCCTCTTCACTGTGACTGCTTCCTGCGCCCTCTAACCCGTCACCTACAAAATCAACTAACCTTATCGCAACACTACAAGGACATCGAGTGTGCGAGTCCGGCCTACTTGTCGAACGTAACGTTGTTTGCGTTGCCCGAGGACAGATTGAATTGTCCCGTCAACGTTAACACGACCAGAATCAAGGAGTCTAGAAATGGCAGGGACTATGACGTCACGCCGGACTTTAGATTCAGGGAGCTTAGCATGTAAGTGAATTATATTTGGGACGACGACAAGGTATTGGTTAACTCGATAAAAAGAAACAAGTGTTATAGTAGAGGATCCCAAGTAAGGTCGACCTTCACCCATCTGCTTACCAGATGAAAATTATATTTTATCAAATAAAATATGTTTCTGAACATAAACCAATAGGGTTGCCATAAAAAATATGATCAAGGCTATCTATAATAAATAAAAAACTAAAAAAAAATAATTAATTTTTTAAATTTCACCGACTTGCTTGCCAAATGAACGAAATTCCAATGGAAAGCATACAACATACAGAATATGTAACAGCTAGGTTGCCTACCTTTTTCTGGTCCCTATTACCTGGTTGCTTTGTACAGGGTGATCCCCTATAAAGTCGCCCCCCTTTAACTTTTTTATTTTAAGTGTCCCAAAAAATTTAAAAGTTTGGTTATGTAGGTACTAAAAAATACTTTTTTTCTACGTATAAAGAAAATTGGAAAATTGATCAGTATACAGGGAAAAACAAAAAGTTTATTTTTTTTCAATGGATCACCGTATATATGAATTTATTTTTCGATTCCTTGTAAAATTCTGAGCATAATTTATATAACAAACCATATACCTAAATTCAACCGTTTCTGAAATATTCGCATTCGAAATGTCATCATTAAATGTTTTTTTTAAACTGTTAGAAATCAAGAAGCCTCAGTATACCAAAATTTTTATTGAAAATAAATTACTAAAGTGAAATTATGTCAATAAGTGTTATTAAATAAGTAAAAATGGCGTACTCAGACAGAGAAAGACAAACTATTTCAACTTATTATCTTAAAAATAATTTAAATATTTCAGAAACGGTTGAATTTAGGTATATGGTATGATATATGAAATATGCTTAGAATTTTACAAGGAATCGAAAAATAAATTCATATATAGGGTGATCCATTGAAAAAAATAAACTTTTTGTTTTCCCTGTATACTGATCAATTTTCCAATTTTCTTTATACGTAGAAAAAAAGTAATTTTTAGTTCCTACATAACCACACTTTTAAATTTTTTGGGACACTTAAAATAAAAAAGTTAAAGGGGGGCGACATTATAGGGGATCACCCTGTACAAAGCAACCAGGTAATAGGGACCAGAAAAAGGTAGGCAACCTAGCTGTTACATATTCTGTATGTTTTATGCTTTCCATTGGAATTTCGTTCATTTGGCAAGCAAGTCGGTGAAATTTAAAAAAATAATTATTTTTTTTTTAATTTTTTATTTATTATAGCTAGCCTTGATCATATTTTTTATGGCAACCCTATTGGTTTATGTTCAGAAACATATTTTATTTGATAAAATATAATTTTCATCTGGTAAGCAGATGGGTGAAGGTCGACCTTACTTGGGATCTTAGACTATTACCTTGGTTGATAAAAAGACAAATCTAAAAAAATAACCAATGAGTTCTTGAAGTTTCAATTTAAATATCATAATAACAAATAACAAATTCTTGCTTATTTATACTGAAAACAATAATAATTGTCATTGAATATTTTATATTATGTGGGATGGATAAATGTACTGTAATCAATTTCCATTATGCATATATAAAAAAATGTAATGCCATTTGATCGAAAAGGATAAATTCCTCGTTCCAAATAAATACAAATGATCCTGTAGGATACACAAACAGTCTCATTTGATTGATGCAAAATTCCTGGCTTCATTTAGCTCTGATGCATTTATGATTTCACCCTACTATTGTTTTAAATTAAAAATGAAGCGGGTTTTGTACTTTATTCGTTGTTGGATTTTTAAGTTCAAGTTTTTTTTCATTTATTGTCATTTAAAACGGGGTTTAAAATCAATTAAAAAAAAAATGAAATCAATGGGCAACCAGCCCGAAAGTATCGTGCAACAGACATATTAAGGCATTTTTAAAACAATTGATGAAATGAAATATTTAAAATTCTACTATTTGAATTAGTACCAGCATTTTTTACTAATAAAATAGTCGTTTTCACTTTTAAATAGTTATTTTTTACTACGTAAATAGTTAAAGTTTGACTAATTTAAGATTAGTCACCATCTTTGACTATTTCTGAGAGTTAAATTTCTTTAATCGTTTGCGGCCAACAACAAAGTATTATTTGAATTAAATGCATATAGGCTCCATGGTTAAATGGCCCATAAAAACAAACAAAGATTCAAAAAGTTTAGCTCAAAACACAAAACATTTAAAATATTATGAACCATATTTATTAATAAATAAAATTGATTTTTATAAGAGTGACTGATAGCCAGATAGGTTACGACATCAGCTTGACAAGTGACAGACCTGAGGCCAATCCCCGGCTGGGTCAAAACTATTTTAAATAAATCCACCAATTTGACTATTTCATTCACAGAATTTGACTAATTATTAGTGACTGCTTTTTCGCTATGACAATTAGTCAAATATGACTTATAAATAGTTATTTTTAACTAATTAATTTTAAGGGAGCAATCTTTTTATGAATTGTTTGGTAACAGTCGATGTCAATGAGGAAAGTGCACAAACTTAAATCCAATCCGCTTTTTCATATGACTCGGTACATGCTTTAACAAAGGCTTATGATGTTCTTCAATGCTTGAGCCAAATAATACTAAAACCAAAAATCAAGTGAGTGAAACCCTGCGTTAGGGATCAGAACAAAATTGAGAATTCGATTTCGTGTTCCTTCTTGCCCTTCAAGATGAAATCATGCAAATCGTTAATTTGCCTTTTGAATTATTACAGTTACGAAAGAGTAATTTTCTGTTTGCACATGATCAGCTTTAAAATACATTTTCAAGTATTAGGAGGTTGATTTATTGCAGAAAGATGTAACAGATTTGTGACAAGTGGAAAATTACAACAAAATTTATTGAAAGTTGAAATATTTATAGATCCTCAACAGCGTTTCCTAGTTACTATTTTCTTTCCGATTATCGCAACTTAAAGAACGGTTTGCAGGAATGAAGAATGTTTTAAATACTTATCAAGTCTTGCAGCCTTAATTTCTAACAAATTCGTCAAAGAGTGATTTAGAAAAAGCTAACGAGTTTAAAAAAAAAATCCAGATGAGATATCATTTTCCTTTTCCTCTTAGTTGCTTTCTGTTGGGTGGCATCATTTAAAATACATCATTGTCTAAGCTATCCAGATGTGTATGTTTTCAAAATTAAAATTAATCAAAAAGTTTGATGGAACAAGAGAAACTAAGCAATTTATCATTATTATCTATAGTCGCTGCTCTGAATGGGTGCACGTCATCAATGTCATCAACTAATATTTTTTATATTGCTCAATAAACTATATTTCTATGGAATCAGAGGTCAAGAACACGATATACTTTCATCTTACCTAAGAAACCGAAGACAAGCAGTTGAGTGGAAAGAAAGACAAACCAAAGAAGAATTAATAAACATGGGACCAATTTTGTTTATCCTATATACAAACGATATGACAGCAAATGTAAATACTTCAAAATCATGCATTTATGCTGATGATACCACTTTTATAAATATTTCCAACAATACGAAAAGACTAAAACAAAAGTCCATTAAAGCAATAAACAATGCACAAGATTGGTTTGAGACAAACGGATTAAAACCAAATCAAAAAAAAACTTACCACCTGGAAATATTCATTTGATAGGGTTTTATATGGATAGTACAATGACATGTATTCAACATATAGATCACCTTTCAAAGAAACTCACATCAGTCATTAAATGGCTAAATTTTATTCAATTAGAAGAATAAGTTTTATCGTGAACAAAAATGCCCCAATACTTACCTATTTTGTACATTTTCATAGCATCTCCACATATGGTATTATGCTCTGGGGTTCATGTTTGGAATCATCCAGAATGTTTCTACTACAAAAAAGGGTTATTAGAGCAATAATCGGAGCACCGCCAATCATTTTAGTTTTAGTTTCTGGAAATAGTTATTAAGTTATTAAAAGCGTTTGAAATAAATGTTTTTTGTAAAGTATTTTAATTTTCATCTCTCCAGAGGCTGCATAGGAAGAATTTAAAAAAAATAGGCCCCTACATTTGGTCTTGCTCCTGCCCCAACATCTCAAGCTGCGGCATTGATTTAAATAAAATTCTTAGATTAAACATTAGTAAACCGTTTTTTTATAATATGTACAATCGACATTTCGTCAATTTTAATCTTTTCTTTGATGTAAAATCCGCTCCTTGATAAGATGTGCTCATTTTTTTTCAGAATTTTATGGAAAGCTTGTTGAAAGTTTTGTTTGTTTTCTTTCGAAATACTAGGCCGCGCTTAAATTTGAGTTCCATTTTTGGAAACGCAATCGAAAAATATTCTGAATTTTATTATAGTTTATCAAGTTTTAAGGAGGCTCGGGCAGTACATTGCGGGAAAAGGTGTAAGGGGAATTGCTTTTATATTATTTTATATTTAATGCATAAATAGCGGTAGGTACCAACTTGCAAAAACTAAATTTACTTTGTCATTTTATTACATTTGATTTTATAAAAACTGATTTATTAATTATTTTCTATTTTAATACAAAAGGCAGTAATGAATTAAAAAACGTAAAAAATAGGATTTAAAAGCGACAACATTGCGAGTTCTGGATAGTTGGTTTTTATGGTAACGCTTTTAGCTTCTCACAGTGGCAGTGACATTTCTATATGCAGTGTTATTTAAAATTTTAAAATGAGTTGCTAAAACGAATTATTATGTTCTGTAAAACAAATTAAATTCACTACAAAAAAAGGTATGGAAACCAAAAATAAAGCAACAGAAAACATGCAGTATGTTGAATGCAGCAAAAGTCACGTGAAGAGCAGAAAACAAACATAAGAAAACCATAAAATATAAAATGATTGTCTAATCCTTTTACATTTTATTAAAAAAAATTATAATAAATAACTGTATAATTGCGTTTTTTTTAATAATTTACTTTAAAAACCAAATTATGATAGTCACCAAATAAATTAAATCAAACATCCCTAGGTAATCACGTTTTCGTAATCCAGTGTTGCCAGATGTTTTAAAAAATTGTGCCATGAAAGTTAACAAAAATATATACGGCGAATAAAAAAAAATTGTCAATGTCACGTTAAAAGACATGGGCTGTATATAAGATGTATTTAATTATTATAATAATAATAATAATAATAATAATAATAATATTAATGTATTTATTTGCCCAACAAAAAATCAAATTACAGGACAAGAATTACAATTCATTTTAAGTAACAAAATGTAAATATATTAAAAAAAATATGATATCAACTCTTTAAGTGAACAATTATTTATGTCGCAAAAGTTACACATTTTATTATAATTTGAAGATATAATTATTAACGAAACATTGGTTCTGCAATTACCACAATAAAACATAATATTTTGTTTAGAATTTAAACGTGGTAGTAGTAATAAAGATATAAAGAAATATGACATAATGTTAAATTCTAACCGTCTTTGTACCTTTTTCAATTTTGTTGATATAATTATTGTAAATAGGATGAAATATAAGAGAACCATACTTCAATTTAGAGCTTACTAAGGAGAACTATAAAGACTTAAGGGCTTCCGTATTTGAAAAATAGCCTCAATTACGTATGTTATCTATATGATTTACAAACGAGAGTTTATGGTAAAAAAAAATACCTAGATCCTTTGTAGAAACAACGCGAGAAAGACTGGATCCATCAAACAAGAAGTTGTAAGCGCATATCTTATAAGATAATTTATATATAAAATGACTATACTAAATCGATGTTTTTTCTCTTTTTGGCCTATAAATTTTTTTTCAACATTCCCTACACAGTTTAGCAATATTAAACGATTACATCCAGTGTGGTCTTAGCAACTTTAATAATTTTTTACTTGGAATCTCAAAAGACTTTACTACAACCTAGAATGATTTAACATTTTCTCACACCGATTAATATCGTGCCCGAACCTCCTTAAAAAATTCAATAAGATACCAACTTTGCGAAGAAAAAAACAAACGCGATTATTGTCATTGTAGCAAGCTAATAAAAAAACAGTTAGTTTGGGCTACCGTAGGTGAATTGACTGTATATTTTTATTTTTAGTGAACGCAAAAAACTTAAGATCCTATGGCGAGTAATGAAGAACGCGGACATAGCAGACACTTACGTTTTCATTAGAAACGTGCAAAATCCGGAAAACGTCGTATTCGAAACAACCTTACCCTACTTCAAGAGAAAGTTGGAGATCCCTGTGCCAGGAAACTTGACGGAAGAGACAAAATTGGGAAGAGAATATCAAATATGCTTATTGGCTAAGGACAGTAAAACTTTTGTTCGCAAATTTTATGCTGAACAGTGTCGCGACCTGTCGGACACGTTTAAAAGTTCTGCGCCAGGAACTTTTTACCCATCCAATCTTTTACTGACTGTTTTATTGTGTGTGATATTGAAATATGTTGTGTAAGTTTTTATTTAAATACATTTAATTTAATGTTAACAGTATTTTTACTATGAATAACCAACCCAAAGTCGATAAATATAAATTAAGATTTAGCTTTAGGCTATTTTTTTATTCATGTTCTTGATGATTCTTTATTCAAATATTCAAATAAAAAACTTGTTTTAATTTAGACCATTTATTTGTTTTGTGATTATTAATGAATTAAAATGTTTACAATTTTCACGTAAATCATTTCTAAAATGTGTATTTATTGTATCTAATAGGTACAATTTATATTTATACTTCTCACGAAATGTCCCCCGATGGTGTTACCACGTGATATTTAATAAAACTAAATAAGTTTGACCTACTACACTTTTATTGTGTTTTGATCTTTCATAATTAAGTAGATATTACAGCTCAGGTTCCAGATTTTTAACCGAAATTAATTATTTTTTACAATGTTTTAAAAGTCTAAAACCTATCCTCCGTGACTGTTACTCTTTCCAGGTTAACCTATATGTTTTCAAATATCTGAGGTAGTAAAAGCATACTAAAAATATCAGTTCACTAAGTAAATTAAACACATCCACAGCAATCGAATCAAATATAAAATATTATTAAAAATTAAAAGAAATAATTTTTATAACCATTTATGTAGGTGTTACAAAAATTGATTATATCTTCCGTGAATCTGTTTTTATGCAACGCTTTAATAATTTTAAATAAGCAAAAACCTCTATTTACGACATTATAGATGCATGTGATTACTGAAGGTCAGTTAGAATTTATATGCAGATGAGAGTGTTGCTGTTTTATAATTCAAAAGTTTAAGTTCATTAATTTGCTATTTAAAAACCTATCCACCGTGAAGTGTAATATTTGAGTAAGTAGATTTTTTTCATAAATATTTTATGTATGTAAAATTGTATTTTTAAAAAATATTAAGGTGTTAAAAGACACAATAACTTATTTAAAATATACAAAGGGTTGTTTAAAAAAAACATACGAAATCCTAACATCCGTGAAGCTATCTTCCGTAAAGCTCTAATATTCAAAATATGACACATAGGTTGTATACAACTGGAACAGGTGTTTTATTTTATGTTAGTCATAATCATAGATAACAAAGCCTTGTCATAATTTTAGGTTAACAAATGTTGTCAATGTTTTTATTATTTTTAACGTCGTATTTTGTCTAATACAAATACGTGTCCAGCATAGAAAGTTTGTAGGTACTCATGTCTCTAGTCTTCGTGGTACCTATAGGTATATACGAGCCCTGTCTCAGTGAAGTTGGCCCAACTAACAAAAATAGTTTTTTGAAGATATTTAGAATATTATACGGTAATTAATTAAAATTAACACATTGTTTTAATTAAATAAATAACGTTTATTAAATTTTCTACCGTTAAATTGTATTTTAAAGTACACTGAAAGAAATATATGTTTGTTTTAGCAATGTATGTGGTAGTCCATATATGAAACATAAAATATATTTACCTTAACCATTTTTATATTTAGTTTTAACATATTATGTTAAAACTAAATATAATATATGTTTGTTTTAGCAATGTATGTGGTAGTCCATATATGAACCACATACATTGCTAAAACAAACATATATTTCTTTCAGTGTACCTAATAAAAAAATATTTAAAATTCTCTTATATTGTCCGTAAACCAAAAATTAAGAAAAAAAAATATTTTAAATAAATACATTTTAATTGGAAACTACCACTGCGTAACATCTCCTTTATGGCTTATTACTGCCTGTATATATACGTCTCGGCATGGTGTCAACCAATTTTTGACAATCATCCGGCGTAAAATTATTCCAAATTTCTTGTAGGCGAGCACGCAACTCTAAGACGGTTCTTGCGGGCTGTTCTCTGAGCTTCTTTTTCATAATATGCCACAAAGTTTCTATATGCGAAAGATCTGGACTACTAGATGTCCATTTTAAAAGTGAAATATTATTTTTTATCATCCAAGCTTTCACTTTTTTAGCCGTATGACACGCTGCACCATCTTGTTGGAAGATGCATTCAATATCAGTTAAACGCATTTCTTCAATTTGCGGTTTTAAGTTATTTTTTAGGACGTAAATATATTTATCAGCATTCATAATGCCTTCTACAAAGTGTAATTTACCGATCCCTTTAGCTGACATAGATCCCCAAATCATCACAGAGGCCGGAAACTTTACTTTTTTCTCAAGACAGTGATTGTGAAAGACTTCTGCTTTAGTTCTAATGACTTGGCTTCGATTATCACCAACGCAAACTTCAAATCTAGCTTCGTTACTCCATATAATTGAATCCCATTGATTTTGACACCAAGTCCTGTGCTCTTTTGCCCAGAGATGTCTATTTTTCTTCTGTTTTTTTGTCAATAAAGGTTTTTCCTTTGCCTACAGATAGTAAAATTAAAAATAAATAAAAATCGTATACATTATAAGCAAACCTTGTAAGTTTTAAACCCAAGTTTTTGAGCAGCTCTATGACAGGTTGCTCTTGAAAAACATTTACTCGTTGCCTGATTCCACAAAACTTTTAATTCACCGTAATTAGCCCTACGATTTTGAACGATAATTCTTCTTAAAGCCCTTAAATTTTTATCAGAATAGTGAGGACGACTTCCATTTTTTGGTTTCTGCGCCACAGATCCTGTAGTTTTGTGCAGTTTAATAATATTTCGCACTGTATATCGTGACAAATTAACAGTTTCAGCGATTTGTGCAGCGGATTTTCTTTTTAAATGCAAGTGAATTATCACTTTTCTTATTTCTTCAGAAACAGCTTTTCCTCGGGACATTATTATTTGTCAACCACACCGAAAGCATAAATATATACTGGAATGTCACTAGCGACTTGCTTACAATTATTTAAATGTCAAATATTATCTTTACTTTTAGCACAGCCGACTTGCATTAAAAAATCTGGCCATCCAAGTTAATGCATTTTTGTCGATTTTTTTGTATTGTAACCAAACATCCAACTTAAAACTAAATAATATACATACACATATTTTTAAAAAAAATTTACAACATGAAGATTGACCAAGAATTACATATGATAAAAAATTGTTGGCTTTTCATCGCATAAAATTACAAATTTTATATTTTGAGTGGTTGGGCCAACTTCACTGAGACAGGGCTCGTATACTCTATACACTACTTACCATTAACTATTGCATGCGCCCCACATTTTCTGTTTTAAATCTTAAAAAGACTAAAAAATAAAAAATAAATTACTAATCTTAAAAGAAGTTTTAACGTAATAAAAAGTATAAAATAATTGTATAGGTTATAGTTATTGTATTAAAAGTATTAATACTTTGCGACAAACTCGCTAGATATATATATCTTATCACCGCTTTTGTTTAATTTCGTTCAGGATCTCATGCCAGCATCGACAGACGCGTTTCGTTCTGTGGAACTCATCAGTGCCGAGTTGCTATAGGCTTGAGACCCAAACGAAAACTTTAATTCCCTTCCTTATATTGGAAAGGAATAGTTCAAAAGCGGCGAGAAGAGAATTTGCTTGTGCAAGCAAATTCTCTTCTCGCCGCTGATGAGTTCCACAGAACGAAACGCGTCTGTCGATGCTGGCATGAGATCCTGAACGAAATTAAACAAAAGCGGTGATAAGAGAAATGCTTGCAGAATATTAATTAATATATATATCTAGCGAGTTTGTCGCAAAGTATTAATACTTTTAATACAATAACTATAATAAATTACCTAGCCGGGAGGGCAATACATCTTTTAGGTCATAGATGGCGTAAAGCACGCTATATGTCCCGTACAGATAATGTCATGACATATAGAAGACCGCGTTGAAAAACGATAGATGGCACCATTGTGCAAGCAAATTCTCTTCTCGCCGCTTTTGAACTATTCCTTTCCAATATTAAGAAGGGAATTAAAGTTTTCGTTTGGGTCCTGTGGTTTAGGGTTTGGGTCTCAAGCCTATAGCAACTCGGCACTGATGAGTTCCACAGAACGAAACGCGTCTGTCGATGCTGGCATGAGATCCTGAACGAAATTAAACAAAAGCGGTGATAAGAGAAATGCTTGCAGAATATTAATTAATTGTATAGGTACTTCATATCCCTACTAATATCAACACTTTGACAGGTGTCAACTTGACAGATGCCAGATAACAGTTGAAAAATAACATGACAGATATAAGCTTACTTTACATTTTGTGTTAGTTAGTGCGTTAAAGCGTCCTTTTAGTTTTTTAAAGTTATTAATTAATTTTCTGAATCTTAAAATTATGTTCATGTTTATGGCCTAGGCACCAATCGGGTTAGAATATTTATGGCCTGAGCCGTAAAAATTCAATATTTATTATGGAACAATACAAAATTCGACTTCTGTCAGATCTATCTAACCCCACTTTTTGCGTTAAATAATTTTACGTTTTATAAATCTTTCTTCTTGGCCTAATGACATAAACATCTAATATTTTACATTTAATATTAACAATGTAATAGTTATTTAACTAACTAGTGAGGAAAGTGTTACTTTTCGGCACGCGACTGCCATTGAACGAACGACCTCAGTCGAACAAGAAAATCTCGCAATTTTTTTCATCAGTTTCCACTTTTAACTTAAACATTTTTTCTACAAGCGAGCGAAAAGTTGCTACTTTCTTTACGCATTTACTTTTCGCACTGTAAAGGGTGTGAAAAGTAAGCACGCACGCTTGCAGAACAAATTTAATATATAATATTAAAAAAATACTCTTAAAATTGCGTATTTTATTTAATGTATTCAACTTAATTAAAAACTGAATGTATTATACCGACATCTTTTTCAAATAATATGTAAATTCACCCTTTCAAATTTGGCTCGTTTAATTATGCCATCAAATTACTTATGATCGTATTCCACCCACATATTTGAAATATTCCATTTCACTTGGCCAGGATGGTTTTAGCATCAAAGCTAAGGACATTAGCGGTATTACCGATGTGCCTTACTTGTTTATTCGTTTTCCATTAATAAAACGAATAGGTACATGAATAA